ATTCAAATTTATTGAATTCTAAGCGTAGTAGCGTGCTTTCGACTTCCGCCATCATCAGTACTACTTGTCAGGTTTTTTCTTTTCCTGTGTTCTGTGTCGGAACCTGAAAAGTAGTACTGATGATGAAATTTTGCATGGAATACAAATTGTTTCCTGCCTCACTTAATAATCATTCACAAATAAATATGTATTATTAACATGAAAATACGTCGTTAAGAAAAACTGCTCACTATGCCATTTTATCGTATTGGTCGCGAGTTTTTAACACACATTTGAGCCTAGTTTGAAAACATTGAATTAAATTATTATTTATAGAGTGTTAATTTTAGTGGCATGCAGACGTATTAATTAAAAATCGATGAAAAATTTTCTTGCCTCGACTAGGATTTGAACCCAGGACCCCTGCATTTCCAGTGCAACGCTCTAACCAACTGAGCTACCAAGACCTGTTTCATTTCTACCTCTACCATACATACTTTCATCAATTTCATCAACTAACAACTTAAAAATTGATGAAAGACTTGATCGACAAGGTTGAAATGAAAAAGGTCTTGGTAGCTCAGTTGGTTAGAGTGTTGCACTAGAAATGCAACGCTCTAACCAAGTGAGCCACCAAGACCTGTTTCAAATGCAGGGGTCCTAGGTTCAAATCCTAGTCGAGGCAAGAAAATTTTTCATCAATTTTTAATTAATACGTCTGCATGCCACTAAAATTAATACTATAACAGACGATAAAAAAAAAACTTCTAATAAATTATTATTATTTTTCCATTTTAGGTCATAATGGTAATCAAAAATAAGGGTAAACAACAAGAAGACAGCTCAAGCATGGTATACAAAACTCCGTCAAAATTCTTGACCAAAGGACGTCATGAAGCTTCCCAATACGCTAGCGCAAACTCCTCCGTTATAGGCCAAGATCTCATTTATTCCAAATACAGCGAACAAGATATCCAAGAAGAATTTTTAAGGCTTTACACCCAACTTGAGCTACTCAAAGAGCGAAACATGCGCGTTGGAAATCGGCATTTGGCTTCGAAAATTATTGCCATGCAAGATGCTGCTCGAATGTGTGATAATGACAACGAAAAATCTTCTATTATAATACGGAGTAGCAGCAGCCTTTGCATATCAGCATCTGTGGCAGATGTTCAAGATGAATCTTGTATAAAAATTAAACGTCAAAGTGTATCGTTTGCTGTAGATTGCAAACCTGGTGGAGAAACTTCGGTGTCCAACGAAAATGCAGATGATGCCATTGAAACCACACTAACAGTAATCGAAAAAGAACCAACTGTTACTGGCAAAGAAGATAATGCTAAACGAAAAGAAGCAGAACCGAAAGACGTTGAAAACGAGCAAAGCAGCTCAACATATCCAATTAGTGATACGAAAAAGACAAGTACGACTGATACCAACGGTAGGCATTTAATGTCCGGCCATGCTAGGACACATTCTATTGTTATTAATTTAGATGATAAGAGCCGTTTTACTGATGAAATAACTGTTTAAAGATGTTTTTTATTTACGTTATTGTACCTGATATAAGGTTGTAATATAAATGTAATTCATTAATTTTTAAATAAATGGTCCCCATAATATAATATTTTGTTTAACTACAACAATTTTCCTAGAAGAAGTGATGACATTAGGTATTGTTACGTGGTCCCATGCCCATGAGTTCATTGTGCCCGTTATACATGAATAATTTTTGGTTGCCAACTTGAAAAATTACCATTAAAAATCAAATGATTTATCTGAAAAAAATTCGGCTCCATCCCATTCTGTTTTGTCATTCTTCCAAAGGTTTCTTTGTTTGTGTCGCACTAACTTGATGAGCTGCAATATTTCAGATTATGGCAGATAATTAACCATAATAACGTTCGTCAGTGCATTGCCATAACACAAACGAACGCCCCAAAACAGGAAGTGCTGCTCCGAACAACACAAAAAACAAACCTCAAGAACATTATCAAAACAGGATTGCTCATCCTTTCGACCGCTCATCCTAATAAGGCCGCCAATTCTAGTCGGCAGCTGGTCTGCGGATGACGTCACCCGCAGACCTCGATGGGATGCTTGCGATTTGGGCTGTGCGTGTAAGTTAATTTTTTCGTCGATTTTAAATGTAGAAAAGGTGATTTTACCGTTTAAGAATTCGTTTTTTTGAACTAAAGTCTTTTAAACTTGGATAATGCATTTACGCCAATCGCCTATGTTTTTGAACAGGGCTTTATTAAACACCTGTAGGAGTTCAAAAAATCATTGGTCACATAGTTCAGAACATGCAAGGATGATACACACTAGTACTACAAGATGGCCTATCCTCATAAGGCCTGTGTGTTCTTGTCATTTGTCATTGGGAAAAAGCAATGCGCATGCTTAACATTCCATCTCGCTTTCAAGGCAAAAGTGCCGTTCGCTAGAATCAACAATGGATCACTTTCATAATCGCTACCTGATCAAAAATGTCCTGATGAACGAGGCCAGTGTTCGATTCGAGTTGGTTGTTCTCCGTGACAGTGCCAAAAATGTTGCACCGTCTTTTAATAGAGTACAACGGAAGAAGTCTTCAAATTTAAAATAATTGAAATAGTTAATAGATACTTCTTAGATTATAGATATTAGATATATTATAGATTATAGATATTAGATATAGATATATATTTTATATAGATTTTCTCTTGCAGAGGTCATGAGCTTTCTCTTCATCAGATGTTAGATCATGTAATTATAAAACCATTATAAAAGATATTCATTTGTATCTGCTCCATGCGATCCGCGTTCTTTCCTAAGGTTCTTTCTAACCTTGCGTTCGGTATTTTGCTCAAAGAGCAGAGCGAGCTGAGCGGAGTCGTAATCACGTGACCAGCGAGCGATCAGAGCAGTTAAATGCTGTATCCGATTGGCCGAAATTTTTATAAACGAGCGCAAATGAGCCTGCACCGAGTTCACTTATCATATAAGCGAACGGCAAATTCAAACTCGGTGAACTCAGATCAAAATACCGAACGCACGGTAATAACATTTTCGGCTTTACTGTTCCCAGAGCAGTCCTCGTTTTGACGTTGATGACGTCACAGATCTCTGAGGGAGTGCTCCGAGAGCGATAAAAATCCAAACGAGGGCACACCATTTAAAATCAATAGCCGAACGTACTAGGTCTGTTTCTGCAGAAATCACAAACCAGTCAGAGCGAATTTCATTGGTTGAAAACAGTAATAAACAGTCTGAAAACTAGTTTCAACCAATGAAATTCACTCTGACTGGTTTGTGATTTCTGCAGAAACAGACTTTGAAGTTTTGATCAAACTCTCTGAACCATCGAATTTGACGAAGCAAGAAAGAGCGGTCCGTGCGAGATTTGAGACCGTTCTATTGCTCAAGATGAACACGTGAATCTCGCCGAGAACAACGCTGCGTTTTAAACCAAACATGTGAATCTGCTCCGGATCGCTTTTTGATCAGTTGGGTGCAGTTTTGAGGCAGAAGTCGAAAGCGACTATAAAACCGGTATTCATAGACGGGTGCTTGGCTCAAGCTCTGATTTTTGTTAGTTGTGAGCATCGTTCCGTGTTGTTTGGAATAGCAAATATGGCGTCAAGTCGTACTTGAGCCAAGACGCAACCTTGAGCATCGACTATGAATACGGGCCTAAGGTCACAAGGTCGGGAGCTAGGCGTTCGGTGTAACTCCCAAGAGAAAAAAGAATGCTTTTTAAAGTATATAGGTGCTCCATGATTGACATTCGCATGGAGTCACGTCACAAGTCCCAGTTCAAAACAGTGAGGTCTTCAAGAGTTCAAACGCACCAACTAAAAAAAACGCACCGTTTGTGCGAGTCACATATAAAAAGAACGCGGATCCCGATTATCGATTCTCGAAACAGGAAAGCTGCGCCTCCTAATGAAAATGATTATCACAGAACCGCTCAACTTTCTCCAGAATAGTCGAGATCTGCTCGGAGCAGATACTAATGGCGTTTCCGATTGGTAGATCTAGTGCGGAACTAGTGCAATTTTTTCTATTTCTGTCTTTTTCTTCTACAGGTCGGTTAAAAGGATGCAAATACACTCAGTGCGCACTGAATCTACCAATCGGAAACGCCATTAATAGGTAAGTTCTGCTTGGCAACTTTTTTGACTCCTTTGACCCTTTTCACTACAAAATCGTTCGGGCCACGCCACTGGAAGCAAATGGTGCAAGATCCTCATCGTTCGGGTACAGCCAAGTAGAGTGAAAGGAGTTAACAAGCACCACCTCGCGAAATGAAGCTCGAAGAGCGGGCATACGCACTTCCTGTATTTCCATAAGGCAGTAAAATTTAAAGTTTTCGATAATTCACTGTCCTAACTTAAAAAGTTCAAAGAAGATATTTTTTGCTTGAGGCTTGGTTGCCTCCTGAGGCTCCTGATAGGAAAACTCGCATCGCTCCCCAAAATATCCGGAAAAACACATTATCCGGTTTGTGATGGGGATAATCTCGTTATTAGTAATGAAAAAATGCTAATATAAGAAAAAAGTAGTAAATATTTTTGTTTTCATATTACTTTAAATTAGATTCTTTTATCTGGGAACAATCGTTTATTGTTTATTATTAAAATGGAATGTGCTTGAACATCTTTGCGCAAACGCCCGCGGCATTCGCAGGCGGCGGCTCGCCTCGCTCCCTGCAATGCGTTCGACGTTCGACTAACCGTTTCACTCTTTTCACTCTGTGATCACGTGACTATGCAATCTTTATCCGCTCCAACTTAAACCGCCGCGGCGGTGCAGCAGCAACAGGAGACAACTTTTCAGGTCTGTTCCCACAGGAGTTTCTGACAGTTTGCAACCTGTCAGAAACAATCGCTCAGCTGAGTCACAGATTTATCTTGTAACGACAGGATTGAAAACATATATGGGCGATGCTTACTGACAGTTTGCAAACTGTCAGAGACTCCTGTAGGAACAGACCTTTCGTCTCGTGCTCGTGCTTGTGATTTATGACCGAAGAAAGAAACAAAATACATAACACTTATCCAATTAAAATTTTAATGATTTTTTAAAATGATTACTCCAAGATTCACATTACATCAAGACGATACCTTCCTGAAAATAGAAATTCGAGCGCCCTATTGCAATTTGGGCGAGTTGGAGGTGGACTGCGATGAAAACAAATTTTATTTCTATTGCAAACCATACTATTTGCGTCTGGACCTTCCAGGTGAAATCGTTAATGATGATAGAATGAAGGTAGTCTTTGATACGGATACTGGAAAATTTACTTGCACTTTTGCCAAACTGAATAAATGTGAACATTTTGATGATCTTGATCTTATTACAAAATTTTTGGCTTTAGGTCTAGAAACTGGCGATAAGGGTCATGGTACCATGCCTGTTGAACCTCTTTCTAATGGAAAACAAGAAGATATCGCAGATGATGCTGTAATCATGGGCAAGTCGCAGTATGGATTTGGGTTTGCTTTAAGAGCAGATAGGGACTTTATGAGAATAAGTTCGGAGTTTAATAATATTTTTGAAATTGACCCATGCAAAACATCTCTGCCAGAAAGACGTAAACTAAGATTACAATATGAGCAAGGTAAATTCAATGTTGATCATTACTTAGCTGATTACTGCGACAATAGTGATATATTGGAACTTATTTCTTTGAAATGTCCTTATAAAGATACACAAAATAACACATTTTTAAATTTTTCTGATGAGGATTATGACTTTTTAAAAAATCTATCAAATGTTGAATACAATTTATCAAAATATCAAATAAAAATCTGCCACAATGGTCTTTTGGACATTTTATTTGCTTTTTGCTATGGCGAACGTGCAACTGCTTTTGAAGGAAATGTTGAATTTGAGTGGACAATAACTAAATTGGCTGCTACTTTAGGATGGCTAGACGCATTTGAAGACACAAAAGATGTATTTATTTCTGCATTTAGAAGAGGTTTGATTTACCCCTTGTATAGGCATTTTGATTTGCTTCAAGTAGTATTTGATGACCTAAAAGCATTAATTAGTTTAGACGAAAACTGTCTAGTAAAAATTTTAATAAAGATATATAATATTTTTCTCAATGGAGGCAATGGTGGTTATGTCTTGAACAACTTGTTTATCAAAGATTATATTGTTTACATCATGAAATGGGATAAAGAAATGTGGAGAACAACAGTATCAGATGTTAAAAGTATGAATATCAAGAAAGAAGAGTTAGGTTTAAATTTGGAAGAAATCGAGGAGGATCATGCTTATTTTCAAAAATTAGACCTGAGAGCAGACACTTCAACAGATAGTGATGAAGACACATCGTCTGATGAAAGTACTGATTCATCAAGCTCTGAGTATTCAAGTGATTCTGAAACTACTACTGATGAAGGGGAAATGCCTAAGGAAATATCTAAATTTATAGTTATTCAGAAATAATAGGTAGGTTTTACTCGAGGTTTTACTTTTTACATAAAAATATTTTAGTGTAAGGATAATCTTCTTTGTGTAAATTAGAATGACCAAAGTTATTTCAGAAAAATAATTTGGTGCTTATAGGAAATGTCCAATACTAGATTGGATTTTAAGGTAGGATCTAAATTATTTCAATTTTCAATTTATTGTTGACAATTATTGATATGTCTGTTGTCATAATTTGCATAAGTTTAAATGGTAGTGTCAATTATTAAATTGTTAGATTAGAGATTTATGGTAAGGTGTTAGAAAAAAATTGTGTATTTCTATACAATATTCTTAAATTTTTGATTTTGATAATTTTACAGGTTTTTTCCTAAGTACATTTTCATGAGGGTACCTATACAACCTTAATTGAATTGCTTTTTAGATCTTGGAATTTTTGCTAAGTTTTACCTTTTTATAGATGTAGGACTTTTTACATAAAATGTGTTCAGGAAACCTTACATTTAAGAGAAAACCATCTTCAATAAATTATTGTTTACCATTTTTTACAGTGCAAGCCAATGCAAAATATGTCTTTATTATATAAGTACCGTACCTACATGTTAATTGCTACATTCCAAATCAAATCACTGTATCCAACTTTTTACTAAATGTTTTTCGGTATTGTTATGGGTTTTTCTACAATGGCTATGGAAAATGACAAAAATTACATGTCAAACCTGAATTGAAAACAGGTTTTTGCACACACTATGTGCATAAGTTTTAGAGTTAGCTGTGTGCGAAACTTATTGCACTTTTTTTATTTTTGTGAAAACGACTTTCCATAGTTCTTGAAACCATATTTGTTTTCAAGTGCCTAGCAACAGGTTGTCTCAGGATAATACTTTCTTAATAATTGTTAATATTTGAATGAAAAGGATGCAATTCATTTTCTTTTCCTTGTTTTTCCATGCAATTGTAGAAAACGTATAGTGAGCCAACTACATGTTAGAAAATACCTTTTTAGAACCTATTATACAATATGGTATTTTTAATTATTCCCAGATACTTATAGATATTATAAAACCTTATGATTTTACATGTTCGACTGTTTATTTCAAGTTTTTTTTTGGCATGTATTAGTATGTACATTAAATAACCACCTATAGTGACAGAGTATACAGTTGGTGGGCAATTGGCATAAGTACATAAATAAAATTCTCTGCATATTGCAAATCTGATCTACCTATTGTTTTATTTATTTAATCAATAATTCAATTCCTTAACACTTAGTTATGGGGATAAAAACAACTTCATGCTATGACTTCAAGATGGTGGTCTTGTTATCTGAGTTGGTATAATAATGAGAATTAGATTTTCTCTTCCAAAAATGAACAATGCAAGAAGCATTTTATGTGACAATTGGAAATTGGGGTATTTAGAGCCCGCTGATCACAAATCTGCCTGTTGCCAGTTCCAAATATGGACGGGGAGTTTGGTATCCAAGATGGCTTCCAAAACTCTGTTTTCCTATATCTGCCTTGTCCGTTGACTTAAAATATTGATTTAAACGCCTGCTTAGGGGTTTTCTCTGATGCTAGGCACATTTCAATACTTAAAATTGTCTTACCTCAAGTTTAAACTACGGAGCTCCAAGTTGGCCGCCGAAGAAAGCAACCATTTCAGACTTTAAATATTGTTTATTCCAGGATTGTAAAGAAGATAAGAAAAAATCGTTCTAGTATTTTTAGCTTATGGCAATATCACAAGAAAAATAAAAAATCAACCATTTAGAGAGTTAAGACATTATCGAGTGCGGTGGCACAACTTGGTGCAAGTCAATTTATTCTTCTTGCACATGCACGGAAACTGGCTCAAGAGGAGATCATAAGGATGGGAATGTACTGATCTCGGTGAAGCCTCCACCTATATGACTCAGGATCCATCACACCTAGGAAATTAGGAAAACATAAACGGGCGATATGCCCTCCGTGAGCCTCAACATCCCATGCTAAACGTCACCGTCTACGCCAAGAATCGATAGAGTTGGCAATGTTCCAATTCACCCCAGGACTCAATGATTCGGTTGCGCAGCTCTTCTAAATATTGAGCGTAGCCCCGTTTCTGTGGACTCTTTCTTCTGAGTCCTTATAGAAAAGAATCGCAGGAATTCAAATCTGGGCTATTAGGCGGCCAGTCAACGGGCACTATAAAATCCGCAACTTGCTGTCTATAGATTAATGGTTGATAGTAAAGCGGCTAGTAAGACACCTGGCTCCATCCTATACTAACAGTATTTATCACCTTCATCTGATAAAAAGAAAATTACAAAAACGTACAATTTTATCAAAGTTTTTGTGAGAACGAAAATCTTAGCAATAAATGTTGACTGGGAAAGTTATAGAATTACCTGCATAAAAATGTAGTCTGGTGTGAGCCGTTCAATTTCTGGGTAGCATATGGCTTAGTACAAGCTAACAATACTTGCGTGAAACCAAGCGGACTCCTAGTCGATAAAAATTAGCTCTGCCTTGTGGTTTCGAGAAATTGCTGCAGATACCATTAAAAAACTGCTGAATTTTTTTCTTTCTTTAAGCAGACCAAGAAGTTCGCTTGGATTCACGCAAGTATTGTCAGCTTGTGTTAAGTGATATGCTACGCGAAATTGAACAGCTCACACCAGACTACACTTATATATGCAGGTAATTTTTTAACTTACCTAGTCCACATTTATTGTTAGGATTTTGGTTCTCACAAAAACTTTGATAAAATTGTACGTTCTCTTTTTATGAGATAAAGGTGATAAATACTGTTAGTAGGATGGAGCCAGATGACATAATAGATTTTTTCTGTCCAGGTCTTAAAATGATCGCAAAATGATGAACTTTTTTGAAGAAGTCCGCCATTTTGATTTGTTTTCAAATGTCAATGGTTTCACTTTGATTCCTAGCCTGCTCATTTCTCTTCCAGACAAGCCAAAACAAAAGGAAATTGGTCAACAAAAAAAAAAGTTACAACTCGAAAACAAAATTCCGGTTTTTTTTGGACAACCCTATATATTATCTAGTTTGTCTTTTTCTTTCTAATTTATTTTCCCTATAAAAGCAAGGACACAAGCCGTGTCAACACACTCCTACTTCTAATGCGCGGGCGCAGCTATTTTTTTTCATGTTTGCGAGCGACATCTTACTGTTGCACTCGCTTTTATTTTTTGGAAATAAATTGAGCCCCGCCATCTTTTATCAGTGAATGTGATAGGAATGTACGATTGTTTTTTTTTAAATTATCCTGTTGCTTCACATACTCTATTTTTGATCTAGTGGATTCAAGATTTCCCCTAGTTCCATTTCTCAATGGCCGGAGGCCTGTGTTTTAGACACGAAAGCAGTATCTCGTCCTCTGATGAAATAGTGGATTGGTATGTAGATATGTTATTTTTGCGTTTCGCATTTTTTTTACCGGCTCATGGGGGACAGTTTTTATCTGTCGTATGCCACTTTTGTTTGCCAACTGGACGAGTTTAACTTTTGATGATTGAAGTCCATGGTTTGCCTTCTAATAGGTGAAAAGTTTAAAAAGGAAAAACTGCGATGATTATTGATATTTAGGGGATTCTGGTTCTGACACTTTGAGGGATCACGAAATTCTGATTTTTTTCTGTTTCAATCGATGTTTAGGTATTCTTCGTAAAAAAGTGAGGCTGATTTGGAAAAGATGCCAACCTAATTTTTTCAAAACTTGTCATGGTCGTTACATACATAGATTAGGTATTTTCGAAATATTCTAACATTATTTTCCGATCCGTCTTGTGGAATTCCTGATGAAAAACGAAAGAATATTTATGCTGATAAGAATAAATGTAATTTATTGTGTCAAAGGTCGAGAAAAGAACTCTGTTTTCTATTATTTTAAAAGTAACAGTCACAAATAAAAACTTATTTAAAGCGTAGTTCGTAGTTCATATGGATGCGAATAACGTTGCAGGAAAATCGACATAATTCCGTAAAGATACGAGCAAATCTTCTTGAGTTGAGTGAACTCGTTTCCTAAAGAACAGACCGAAGTTCAACTTTTGCTCAAACTTTACGTGTCTAGCTAATCGAAAACGCTACGCTTTGTAAACGCTTTCTTCTATCATCAGAGCACGTTCATCAATGACAGGCAAGGATTACACGTTGGTCATGAATATTGCCACTGCCTCCTATAGTTAACAAGCCATGAAGTTGGAAATGACGGCAACGTCGCGTATGGTGCTATTTTGTTATTGGGTTATGTGTTTCTGTGTATTGCTTTCATTGTGTATTGTTGCAATTTAGTATTTTTATGGGCATTATTGACGAAAAAGTGGATAGAAACACACCAATATATTGCCCATATTTAGTTGATACCTGTTCCTTTGTGCTTTGATTGCAAATTTTTAGCAAATGGGTACAGGAGCAAAAATAAAGGTGAGGTAAGGTAAAACAATATTAATATTTGTCTGCAAGAGCATAGGTCTCGATATATTACCTAAGATATTTAAACTTGTGCCAGATGCCATGAAACTACTGTGTTCCTGGGTGCAAATCGAACTATTAGGAGTTCCTTAAAAACTGAAGAAATGCAAACATTTTTATTTCCAAAAAAATTCTGAAGTGCAAAAAATGTGGATGAAAGGAATACACCAAGATAATTATACCCGAGATTATACAATAACGAAAAATTCTGTGGTGTGTTGTAAGCATTTTGAAGAAACCGAAATAATTTAGATTTGAAACAAACAAGGATAAAGGCGTAGTTCGAGAGTTCAAACTAAAACGTCCAACTCTTAAAAGTAGGTACCAGGTACCTCTTATTTTCGAAAATCAGCTCAAGTATTTGAATGGACTTGCCTTCCGAAAAAATCCCGAAGAAAGAAAAAGTTAGATTTTCAAAAGACATACTGAAACATAGGCCTATAAACACTTTAGACTCTAGAAATATAATCATTTAAATCAATTATTTACTGTTCTTATTTACACAAATAGTTAAATTATTCATTGAATTACTGTTTTTGGCCCTTTAGTACAATAAATTATGTATTTTTTGTGATTCATATTAATAAAATAAAAAATATATATTTATACAAACAAACACCACCAGCACCACTTGGCGGTAAGATTGCGGTGTTGCCTTTTTAACTTCATGGCCTGTTAAATGTAGGAGGCTGTGATATTGCCCAATCTTTGCGCTAGTTTTCGAACGCACCCCTGTCATTTTATTGCGCAAGGCACGTTTGGCAATCGGCTGATTTTCCTGACCCCAACCCCAATATTCAGATTCCCAAATTCAATTCCTCATTACTAGTCCTCATTCCAGCCATTCCTCATTCTATGGTGTGTTGTCGTTTAACGAAAATTTTGTATTTTTTTTCGCCATAACTTTTTATCTCATTCGCATTTCTAAATAATCAATTACGCCAAACGTGTATAATGTATTTTCATGTTATGTTGTCCGAGTCTGGTTATGTTATTATTGGTTAGTATTTAATACTAGTGCACTTGTCCTGACTTGTGTTTGTTGCATGGGGTGATTATCGTTTATAACAAAAATCAAAATCCGTGGTTTTGCTTCGATTTCGTTTTATTCGGAAATGTAGACTCGAGTGGCTGAAATGTGGCCAAAAATAGTTGTCTCGGTGGTTGCTTTTAAAATTATGTGCAGCATCGTTGATGCATCTTCAAATTCCAACAAGAAAATACCTTCTCTACCTTATTGTCCTAACAAAAATCGTTCAGGGTAAGTTACTGTCTATCTGTTTGTTGTTCCTATAAATTTTATAACTGCCCATTTATTAAACCAATACAATACTTTTAGGGCTGTCTTAGTCGGTACTTTAGATGGCAAATTATCAGCTATCAGTTCTTCTGGAAGTTTATCCTGGCAAATTGAAACTGGTCCTGGCCCATTATTAGTTTCAAACATTCACAAACTTGAGGTAAACGAACTTGTTTCACCTGTGAGTATAATCTGATAATAATTTTATTAACTTCCAGCTCACCAATAACGGAGAATGGATAAGGATTATTCCATCATTAACAGGAACTTTGTATAAATTCGATGGCAACACAATAGATCCAATATCAATATCTGCAGAAGCTTTATTGAGGTCTTCGTTTCGATATTCAGATGATCTTGTCATAGCAGGTTTGTACTTTTTATTTATGGTTGGATAGAAAACATTAACTTTGTGACCTAACATTACTTCTTGATTTTATTGTGTTTATAGGAAAATAAAAATTAGGTAACTAAGCATGTTTATTATGCTACTGATATGAACAAGGTCAAATTATTGCCATTCTAAAATGAAACTATTATCAGTCCCAACTAGCAAAAAACAAACCTAATTTAATTACATTACAACTCTGATAACCCAGGCAGATATCAATCTGGCATTATATTTGGACATACTATGTACCTACTATTTTTAAAATGAATTTGTCAAACTTGTAATTTATTATGAAATTGAACAAACATTTGTGAAAAATCACTAAATATACGACCTGATTTGTTGGTGGATTAGTAGATATAGCACTTATCACCCTGTATAAGATTTTTGTTAAAAAACATAAATTGGAAACACAGAATTTCAAACATAAACAGATAGATACATAAATAATTAAACATAATGATATAATTGCATGTAATACATGTCCAAAACTGTAGATTTTGGAACAAGAAACTACTCTGCAACTCAACAATTCAGGGTTGGCAAAAATCCGGCTTCAAAATCATTGGAAAGCATTTTTAAAAGCTTTAGAATGCGCTAGCGCCAAGTTTGAACATTCTTAAACATTTTAAGACGCTCTAGAGCAATTTAGAACTTGCTGCATTTGTTTGAGACAAATTGGAGTCTTTAAAAACATTGTTAAAAGTTACAGAACATTTTAGAACCAATTTAAAATTTCAGAAACATTCTAGGATCATCACATGACTTTTTAGAACTAACTTAAAACTTCCATGAACGTATTAGAACACTCAACACTTATTTCAGTTAGAATTGGCCACTTTCACATTTTTCAAAAACATATAGAAAATAAAATTATTTAAAAATCGAATTTTTAAACAGTTGGGTAGGATCGGTTTGTGACGTCACAAAATCAATAAAAATGTGAGGATGCCAAATTTCTCATTAGTAAATCATTACACAACTTACTACCTGGAATTTATTTTTGTCCTCTACTAGGTACTTTATAAAAAAATAAAGGACAGGTATAATAATAATATATAATAAAAGAGGAACGAGTGGATAAGAAATAAAACGAGAGTAAGAGACGTTAGAAAGGAGGTAGCAAAATTAAAATGGAAATTTGCAGGTCACAATATCAGACAAAAAGACGACCGATGGAATAAATGTATCTTAAGCTGGAGACATTGGGAGAATAAAAGAAATAGAGGAAGACCCCAGATGAGGTATGCTGATGACCTGAAGAAGCACGCTGGAACCAGGTGGATGAACATGGCAACAGACAGAGAAGAATGGAGAAGACTGGGGGAGGCCGGGAGGCCTATGTCCAAAGATGGACTGAAGAAGGCTGAATAGATAGATAGATAGATAATCGTTGAACTCATTTAAATTTCGTATTTTTAAATATCGACAAAATCATGAATATCGGCTTTAGCCAATGAGAGAACGTTTTCAGTCACGTGATTTTTTGTTAAATTTTTCATTTTTATTTATTATTAATTTATTTAATAATCTGACTAAAATCTTGCAAAATATTGTTCATTCTCGGTTGCATTCATGTATTTGCGTCAAAAAATATCATAATTTGCCATATTCCCAGAACGTGAAAGTGGCCAGTTATCAAAAAGCGCTTAAGGATATTTCAAAACATTGGAGAACGCTACAGAACCGTTTAGAGTCAAATTTAAATTTCAAAAACATTCTAGACCAGAACACTTACAAACTCTCGGGAACATTTAAGAAAGCTTGAGATACTTTTAGGTTTAGATCCAAGTTAAAATTTTCAAGAGTAATTTGGAATGCTCTAGAACACTTTACCAATCATATGGAACTTTTGGAAACTTTCAGAATATCTTGAAAATCGTTACATGATACCTTAGAACTAACTCAAAACTTTCATTAACATATTAATAATTAATAAGACCAAAATGAGTTTAACATGCCCCAAGTGCAAGGAAAAATGCACGACAAGGAGCAAATATGGAAACGTTCCCAAACTACACTTTCCAGCAGCATGTGATGCATGCAAAATTATATCTATCATGCAAAGCATGCGAGAAATGGTCATCTACCGAAATCTGGTTCATCGAACTTAAAGAACGAGTGATATCCTACTTCTGCATCTCCTGTGTAAACCCCTCGATAAACCGCCTTAGAGAGTTTCGGAATTTTAAGAAAAAACCTGGCTCAGAAATGGAAACGCTAAAATCGAAAATGACTACACTAGAAGTTGTCATAAACGACCTAAAACCATTACAAGACCAACAACTACCAGAAAAAAAAAAGAGTTGGACACCTCTCTGCAAAAAACTCAAAAAGACATAGAAAACCTAAAACAACAGAAAAGCCAAGGCCCAACCTATGCAGAAATAACAGCTCTGAAACAAAAAGTAGAGGTCCTGGAAACATCAAACGGACTTAAAGAGAGCAATCCCCCAGTTAAACCGACAATCTGTGAAATTCTAGAGCGACATAAGAGAGCAAATAATAATGTTTTGCTTTTTGGGGTCGTACAGGTCACTGGGGAAGACTATAGAGAGCAAAACAACAAGGAACTGGCAATTGTCAAAGGCATTTTAAAGACGACCAATCCGAATAGTAATGAAGACAACATTAAAGTTCTAAGACTAGGGAGACATGACCCAAATAAAGCCATTAAAATTACTCTAAGCACAAAATATGAAGTGCAAAACATTCTAAAGTAAAGATTCAAGTTGGAAGGGACAAACCACTGCCTCAAACCAGTTCAGACTACTGCCCAAAGAAACCATGTAATGCCACTACTTGATGAACTAGAGAAAACGAAAACCTAAACTAGACCTAAAACTTAGATATGTCAATGGAATCCCCAAAGTACTAACGCAACAAACACCACAAAAAATTAATCACGGAAACCCAAATTTAGCTGATCCAAAAAACTTACATCTGCCCTGGTCGACCTATCATTCTACTACACAAACACCTTCTCCATTTGAACAAAGATCCACAAAGTACAATCCTTGCTGCGCAAAGAAAAACCAACTTTCTTTCTAATCATAAAACCTGACTCACTAAATTTATTCCCGATTCAATACTATACTTTCTTGGAAAATGTATTTTAACTTAATTGATATCTTACTAGACAGTTACAAAATTGTTTGCCATAGTGATATCAAGTTCCTACAACATGAAGTTGCATGCGTTTGCAAAAATAACAAGATTTTGATTTTGATTTTGATTTTTTACGGCTAAAACTTCAAGTTTTAGGGACAATGTCTATTAGTACATGGATACCTTAAACATGAATCTTTTTTTTGACGTTGTGATATACAGGGTGTTCCATTAGAAATAGTGGAGAATTTCGATGTTGAAAAACGGATTTTTTTTACTCGCCCTGTATAAGTTTCAAAAAAATTTGAAACCTACTAGAAAAAACTTTAGGCCAAGAGAAATCGAATGGCACAAACCGCAGGTAGCTAGCTCATCTGGTTTGAAAGTTATTTAAATTTAAAATGGGTCACTCTCGGCTGGGACACCCTGTATAACAAGTTATTGAGGTTTCTCCTGGATAAATAAATAAATAAATAAATAAATACGAAGGCGTAGAAGGGACACGTATATATTTTTGTATTTTCTCAACGTTATTTCTGCGTTACGTAACGCGGAAGTACTTATTTTTCCGTTACGTAATACGGAATTAACTATTTCCGCATTACGTAACACGGAATTAACTATTTCCGCGTTACGTAACACAGAATTAACTATCATGCGTTACGTAACACCGAATTAAAGCCCATTTTACAATGGGCGTAGCGTAACTGTAAAGACGTAACATAAGTACTAAGCATGCGCACATCAGATTTATTTGCGTCAAAAATCTCACTGGAAACGCAACGTAAGAGATGACCAACTCTCATCTTCTCTTGCGTTGCGTTTCCAGTGACATATTTGACGCAAATAAATCTAATGTGCGCATGCTCAGGACTTATGTTACGGTTACGTTGCGTCCATTGTAAAATAAGTTTTATTTTATTTAAGTAAACAATCCCATACGTTGCACACTTAAATAACTACACTGTATAATCCGAACTTGACTTTAATTTTTGAACTCAGACTATTATAGATTGAGATGTATTTTTTATTTTAATTTCCTTGTCGCGTTTGTCCATTTTCATATTTATGATGGGATGTTGTGTCTTTAAACAATATAGAACATTTTGATTTCATATTTTTCTGTTTTATTACAGGTGGTATCGAAGTCCGCACTTACGGTGTAAGTTTTCATACTGGTAAATTAGTTTATGAATGCACCCAAAGCAAGTGCTCCAATCATGAGAAAGAAGAAATGGCTGATATTATGGTTGTTGAGCGGAGCACTCAGACTATCAGAGCTGTTGAGCCAAGAACTGGCAATGAAAGGTAAATATTGTTACACTCTATATTTTAAGATGCTCAAATTCAGTTTTTTTTTAGATGGAATTTTAGTGTTGGCCTTCACAATGTTAAGCTCCCACAAGTATCCTGCATTGACACAAAAGTCTTCGATGCCAATATCAGTGCTGTAATCCCAGAAGGACTACTTTCGGTTTCTTCCATGAAGAATAATAAAGAACAAAGCTGGCAGTATAAATTCCAGTCCCCAATTGTCAGAGTTTGGAAATGGGATGGCATTGCACTTACCGAGATCAATCTGTTTGAGTCCAAAAATATGCCTGGACTGATTGCCTCTCCGAATATTATGCCTTCAATTTATATTGGTATGCATAAAAAACAGGTAAGAATTTGTTGTTTTAATTTCTATTTTAGAAAATATTTTTTAAATTATTCTAGCTCTATGTTCATGAATCCCTAAAAATGCAACATCTATTACAAGGTCGACCACACACCCAATTAATACCAGCAGAAAGTCATAGTATTGCAAAAATTCCTTGGAAACCTGTAGCAGCATCTACAGAGTCTACAGAAGACGATTCTACAGCATTATCAGTTTTAAATAACTCTGAATATGTCAATGGTAATGGATATTACTTGTATTCTGAGAGCGAATTGGAAGTAAAAAATAATGCACATTGTGATAAAAATGATACCATTATTATAAATAAAACAAATCCAGAGGTCACAGTTGTTAGGGATGAAGTTGTTAATACTGGAATATTTACATACCTTGGAACATATGGCAGATATTAGTAAGTACTTATTATAATGGGGGCACAAGCATAAGCATGTTATTTGGAAAAGAGACCTGTAATTTTAGAAACAAAAACAATTAAAATTTGGGGTCTAGTTTTTCCCAATTTAATCGAAAATAAAAAACAATATATCACAATTACTGCCTAAAAACCTTACAACAAATTAAGCATGCAATGTTTGCAAATATAAGTTGTCAACTTTGGGTTGCATTTTCAATGTCAACTTGTCTATCTATCAGTATCAAGTATATTCTTTTTAGCAAAGAATTTCTCATGATGGTGGCATCCATCATGCTAGGTCCAATCCTATTATTTAGAGTTTGGAATAAAAGTCAGCCAAACGCCCAAGAAATAATTGTTGTGGAAAAACCGGTGGAAGCAGAAATTATTCGTCCTGAAAGGCAAATTTCTGAAAAAAGTACAGAAGGGTTCACCTCAAGATTCGAAGCCGATTTTACTTTAATTGATTGTTTAGGAAAAGGCGGCTTTGGAATTGTTTTCCGAGTGAAGCAGAAATATGATGATTGTGATTATGCTATTAAGAGAATCACATTGAATGAGTAAGTATTTTATTTAATATGAGGGTTGTGTATAAATGACAACATATTTATATTATTCAATAGTTGTAGTCACTTTGTCATTGTATTATCATTATTCTCCCAGTTATAAAATATTGGCTAATCCATAACTAAGGAGCTACCCATTTTGCAAAGAAGAAGATGTTGCCCTCTTAGGTTTATTTTTTGTGTTTTAATTACATTTTTTTGTTCTCAGGAAACAATCTAGAGATAAAGTCATGAGGGAAGTTAAAACATTGGCAAAATTGGAGCATAAAAATATAATAAGATATTTTTCATCTTGGGTGGAGCGTCCCCCATTAGGATGGGAACAAGAACATGATAAAAACTGGGTCGAGTAAGTTAGTTCAATGCATTTCTTTAGAAAGTTTCTGTTTTTCTTATATCAACTGGTATGCTGTAATGTTCCAAGCGAAATAAAACAATTAATATCATTTTCTTTTGTAGAGAGTCTTATTCGGGTGTCACTTCAGCGAGATCAACAGATTTATCTCCCAAAAAAAGGGTGAAATCATTCTCCATAAGCATTGATATTCCACTTTCAAAACCAGCAGATCCAAGCTTTGATACCGAGAGTTATTCAAGTGATTCAAGCGAAGATATCGTTTTTGAAAATATTGAAACTTCTAACAAGAGCAAAGATAACATTACTCTCAAAAATGATGATGATGACTCATTTATTGTTTTTGAAGATGAAGCTTCAAGCAAAAGCCTCACCACAGAGATGAGCGGTTCTGATGATAGAAATGATACAATAGTGGCAACAGATGCTTTATCGATGTCAAATCATTTGAAAAAAAAAATCAACTGGAAAAGGCCTGGAAGAAAACATCATTCCTGGGATTCAAGTCAAAATGCCGTCCCGATAATAAGAAATCCACCAATGTATCTCTACATTCAGATGCAGCTGTGCCAGAAGGAGAGCTTGAAAGAATGGTTGAGTTTAAACAAAACCAGAGAGCTTACTGATATGCGTGATATTTTTTTACAAATATTAGATGCTGTTGAGTATGTACATTCGAAGAATCTTATTCATCGGGATCTCAAGGTATGTGTAAAGTCAACCACAAATAAATAGGATTTCAGTTTAGGATGTTTGCCTTTTTGAAAATCTGTGCTATATGCTGATCCTATTCAAATTTCCTGTGATAGGAGGTCTGTTCTCACATAAATCACAAACCAGTCAGACCCAATTTCATTGGTTGAAAATAGTCAGAAAACTGTTTGTTGGCGATTTGCCCCAATCAAAAACGCTGGTTTGTGATTTCTGTGTCTTTTTGAATTTGAACTTGGTGACTCCCAGTTGTTCAAATGAGTAAAGAAAATCGTCAAAATATTGAGTACTGATCTCAATCAAAAATTAGACTATTTTCTGAAAGCTATTATTCAGTACTTATTCTATTTGACAACAGAAATTTAAAAAAATCAATCGGAGAGGTTCTTAGAACAATAAAGAAAGCAGCCTACACAAAAAAAAGTTTGCTTAAAGAACTATACAAGTAATTTGTACACTTATTCAATATTTATTTCATTTCATCATTCACATTTTTTTTTAGCCCAGCAATATTTTCTTTTCACTAGAGGGTCAAATCAAAGTGGGAGACTTTGGATTGGCAAAAGATATTGAAAATTTGTACGACTTAGAATTGACCCGGCGATCTACTGCTGGTTCTTACAAAGGACACACAAAAGACGTCGGTACCACTCTGTATATGAGCCCGGAGCAATCCAATGGTCGTATTTATGACAATAAAGTCGACATTTATGCATTGGGCGTGATTTTATTCGAGCTTTTGGTGCCATTTTCCACTGATATGGAACGTATAATAACTTTGACTGATATCAAAACCCAAAAATTCCCTAGTGGGTTTTCTGATCATTATCCTGCTGAGGTAAGCTGATTTAAACTTTTGCTATAGATGTTTATTTTGTTTTTGCCATAGTATGATCTTGTTCGAAATATGCTCGATGAGAATCCAAACAACAGATTGACAACCAGTGAAATCAGGAACAGAGATCCATTAAGTTTTAGAAAATAAGCAGCAATTTATTATTGAGAATTCCATATTTGGAATTTGAATCTTTTTTTTTTTAATTATTATATTTTTTTATGCAGTATTTGAACAAAAAAAAAATCGTTGCACTTACATGAAAAATTAATCAAAAAAATAGTTCAATGATGCAGCATCCTTTTCTTATTTTTCTGATATGCAGGAAAAGTTGTGATTATTCCAGTAATATTCTTTAGGTATATTTTATAGTTCTACTTTTTTTTCTGGTAAATTTTATTATTTGCCAGGTCAATTTTTTGATGTTTAATCTTTATTTCGACTGTTAAAATAGGCTAAGACAATTCAGAATGTGATACATATTGTGTTTGGAGGTCTAAAACTCCATCTCATCTAAGTATTTAAAGTTAGGTAGTTTATGTGAAGCATATACGTTTACATTTTTTATTACATGTAAGTTTGTCTTACTTTGACTTATTGAATAAACTATTAATTTTTGTAAGTTCAGATCTTTTTAATTCAATTTTTATTTCTTGAAAATATAATTTATAATTATACATTCTACATACATCCGTCCAGAGGCCCAAACTATAAATAATCTTTTTGTGGGGTTTGAAGGTGTAAAATTTTCTTGGATTCTGTTACCAAATCTTTTTATGGTAGGTAACACTTGGATGGCCATGCCAATTCTCATTTACAAGTTCTATAAAATTCTCCATTAGACAACTCAAATTGTGCTTTATTGACTTGATAGTGAGGTGTTTTCTTTAATTTCAGTCAAAAAAAACAAACAAATCTTTTTTCCGAATTTTATTTCAGTAAAACAGTTATAATTATCAACATATTGTTGCTATCGTTTTGAGATATAACCCTCTCGTTTTTTTGAATTAACCTACTTTTGAAAAATTGGTACATTATCAACTACTTTTTATGATTTCATATGTAGTTTTATTTAATGCTTTGCCTACTTTGTACAAAAATATTTGGAATCAAAGTGTAGGTTAATTTAAATGTCGAATTTGTTGCAGTGGTATAAAAATTATCCTAGAAAATATTTAAAATTAGGAAGTTCCAATGTCGTCTTACTTATTAGGTAAGTATTTCAAGGAATATTTAACGGCTTAACAATGGTATTCATCCCATATTTGAATTAAACTAGTCGTATTTTACTGTCTTTTTAAAATTAATGAAAGATTTTTTTTGGTATAATAATTGTACTTCAGTCAATAAAAAAATTACAACCCTAAATATAAAAAGAAAAACTTAACAAGAAACTAAGTACCTTCGACGCAATAATGAAAAGTTCATTGACTATCATTTCTAGCAGAACATAATGATATGCAAAAACTTCCAACCATTAACTATATTATTATACCTAGGATACACATTCTGGTATTTTATTTAACAAGGATAATCTTATATTGTCTTGATCTAAAAAATAAATATTTCTAAATCAAATTCATAGTTGAAAAGTAAAACATAAATACATAAAACAAATCAGATTTATTAATCAAAGTTTTGTATATTCCCTGTATATTTCTAAAAAACCTTTGGCACACTATATTTTTGGCACTTTCGAGAACAAACGAAAACTGAATATTTTTGCTAGGGCTAGCTAAAAATCTGTCAATGATTGGCATTTTTTTGGTATACTTTCACTCAGGAAATAATAAGTGCAATGCTTGGCTTCACATACCTTGATTGTTTTAGTTATTTCTTGTACTTCCATGGAAATCTTACTATTACTAACTAGTTAAAATACACTCTATAAAATATAAATCAGAAATTTACCATTACATGCTGTGACTAAAAAAATTAAGAACATATAAGTTTCTGGCATCATTAGTTTATCAAATTAGTTAAATTATAATAATGAAAAATCATAAACAATAAACCACTATTGCAAATTCTTTTTTTCTTCATCCTCTGTGCCTGTAGGTAGGTATACTTTTTTTGGCATCCACCCTTGCCGTTGCCTAATAATGACAACGCATGTCAAACTGTCTCCAGCTTAAAGCCGTTTTCACATCACTGTGCGAACAAGCCCTAAGTCTGAGTTAGGTCCACTGAAGAAACATTTTAGACCCAATATTGATTTCTCCTAAGCATGATACTCTTTGAAGCTTGATCAGACGAATTGTCAATACTACTCCAATCGTCTGGAAGTTCATCGGCAACACCATAAGGATATCCAGCGTGAGGTGATGGAGTATCGAACTCCGATATACCCAATGGAGTGACTTTGCATTGAGGTGGAGCAGCAGGGGGTGGTCCTAACCCTAGGGATTTGACAGGAGATGCTAATAATCGTTCTGGTGGTCGAGGTAACGGGCCCATTGGTACGTCTTCTTTGTGGGATGTGTCTCTCTCCATTGCCTTGCATTTAATGATTATTATCACTACTATAGTTGTTATCACTATGGCTAAGACGATTGTTACTGAAATTTAGAAAAATTTAAGCTATAGATAATTCAAAAGTCTTAGTTGGGAATCTGACGCCTCCTAGGAAGCCTTTTAAAGATGCTCTATACAAGTCGCGAACATCCACCTAAAAAACATGAAATCCTATGTAAAATGACCTGCCGGATTCGAATTTCTTGTTCGCCCTTTGATCCGGAATTGCGAAATGTGTCAAAACATGACATTTCTGAAAAAACTGAAAATTTCCATTGAAATATTTTTTTTTCAAAACTAGTGCATAACTTTGTTAATTGATGTCCGATTGTTATGAATTTTGGATATGATATTTTTCAATACTTCCCTGACATAGTTTCATAACAATAAAAAACATAGAACGTCACATAAAAGCTACGTAATTTTTTTTTTCGCCAGATGACACAAAATATCGTCATTTTGCAGCGTTAAATTGTGAGTCGAGAAAACTTTTTTATCTTTAGAGATAGATACCTAGTATAAGCGAGACAAATAATGTTGCCAATAGAGTAAAGAAACTTTTTTTCCATACGAGAAATTCGAATCCGGCAGGTCATTTTACATAGGATTTCATGCTTTTTAGGTGGATGTATGTTCGCGACTTGTATAGAGGTGGTCGAATTCAGCACCTCAGATTCCCGACTATCTTATTCGTTAAGGGATTTTGAGAGCAAATAGTATTTTACAAAATGCATACAATCGTTAGTTCGAGCAAGACAAAAGTTTGTGTTATTGATAAGCATATTATAGTAAAACATTAAAGACTGTCCATACACAACATTTATATGCGCTCTCAATAATATCTCAAGTAAACTTATTTTGTATTCATCAGCAAACATTGAGATACACTGAATTATAATTATTGTATAGCGGCCCTCGACATCCTGGAGTTGCCTATTAAATCCACTTGCATATGGGAAAAAAACGCCCTTTTTCAAAGACCTCTGTTTCCGACAGCGCTTTTTATTGAATGGCACATTTCGCAATTACAACACCAATAATTAGTAGAAAAAAAGCCAATGCGTACCTATCACGTACATACCTATGAGGATATAGTCTCTTGTAATGTTTGTGCTAGTAAGTAAAACATCACCTTCATGGCCTTCTGGATTGCTTGGTTCTGGAAGTGACGAAAATATTTCGTTGGATTCCTTGCTAACTGTAATTTTCAGCTCTCCTATTGCTGGCTGAAATATGCTCGCCATTAAAGTAAATACTATTTTATCTGTGAGGCGTTTCGATGGTACGTCAATATCTTTTACTTCCAAATAAATAAGCCCCCCTTGAATTTCTTCATGCGTAAATGAGTTCACCAATGTATCTAAAACATGACGCTTCTCTCCAGAACTCCGTATAATTTTTCTTGTTTGGCAAAATGTTGGAAGAGTTACAATGGTGTACCTGGGATTACTTCCGGTTAGTTTAGCTAGAGGCGTTGCATCTAAAATGCTTTGAGTGAGCCTGGTCATTTTCCCTGCCGTTACCTGACAATCGTGGATATGCATGAAAGGTTTGACCTCCACGAAAAGTGTCACATCATGCTTGAAAGTCAAATTTCCAATAGCTATTTGACCAGTCAAGCCAAAACTATCGTTTGAAGATGTTGTATCAAGTTGCAAATACATTACATGGTTTCTGAGCAAATCTCCTTGACTGAACTGATCAGTTTTATTATTTTCCTTAAAGATAACTCCATATTTAGGTTTCCTGGAAATAATGTACACAATTTTCTTTTGATCAGTATTCGTTTCCACAAAAATATTTTGGTCGTTAAGGAAACCAACGTTTGCTCCCTGCCTTACTTGCACTGGTAGTCCAGGCTTTATTGTAATGTTCACTGGAATAACTATTATATTAAAAAAAGTAAATTCAGGTTTAAATTTCTCATCCCAGATTCGTAAATGAAACGAATCTTTCAACATTCCACTTTCATGCACATAGATAAGTCTTTTTTGATCCACATCTGCTTGAGTAAAATGATTTACAGGCTCTAGATTGGGAAGTAATAGTAGTCGACCACTTGACGGTCCGTTCACCAAATCATATTTAATATCTTTTGGTGGTGTGTCGGCGTCTTCAGTACACAATTCGTCTCGTAAAATTGTATGGTTTTCTCCTTGAACTACTGTAAAGCTAGGCGCTGGAGTTACTAATCTGAATGGTTGGTCATTAACTGGATGTACAGTAATATTGGCCGTCAAATTACAAAGCATTATATAACCTGGAACTAAGTACAAGGACAATCTTACAACATCCACTAATGTATCCGAGTTATCATGTTCATAGAATACTTGTCCAGATTCTAACTGTTGTTGCGTAAAGGTCATCAGGCCACTCTCTCTATCATTTTGCAAAAATAATCTTCCGTGTCTTGGATTTTCAGCTGACACATGAATGACAGGTGATCTAAGTCCAGCGTGCATTTCCAAAAATATTACAACTGCAGACAAGTTTAAGTGAACGCTCGTCATGCCACCTTCGTCAACGGTTATTTTAGGGATTTGGACATAGGTGTCTAGGCCTCCAGATGATACCGAAATGTCTATTCGGAAGACCTAAAAAAAGAAAATGCCTTGACTAAGTTTTGGTCTAGTGCGAGTGACTCTGGATGTACGATTTTTTTCGCGAATATCGCTCAAGTATCCCACTCGACGAAAGTGAGCGTCTTTTGGCTCATAACTTCAGCTATTGTGATTTACGGGACAAATAAGGTAGGTACCTACATTTCAAAAAATTGATCATTGTGACGAGCCGCTTTCCAGATGTGTGCTTCAAGCACGGTGCAGTTCTTTGGCAAAAGTTAGCAGCTCTCGAAGCGCAGTACGGCTGGAACACGAACACGCGCTTGAAGCATTTGCGCGCACAAAAGCTCGATTGCGTGCTCAAAAGCGTCAGCTGGAAAGCGGCTACGCTAAGGTACCATCAAGTCACTTTATATGTTATGTCAAAATTAGAAAAAAAATTTTTTTTGCCTTATTCCATATACCTAAATCAATGACTAAAACTATGAGCTGGAAAACGTTCACTCTCGTATTTGTGAAATTTTTTTTACAGTTGAGTCACTTGAAAAGAAAACAGTGGCTTTTAAAATAGGAAAACAAAATATTGAAGGCCTGAAATGTTAATCAACGGCGAAATGAATATTCAAAGCAATAACGAAACAGATAATCTGAAAAACTTCCCAGGTTAAAAATCCACCAGTAAATTAATAAAATATTGAATTCAACAGAGTAAAACTTACCTCATTTTCCAAGGAAGGCACTAAATACGACTTTACGGTAAATACAAAAGAATCATTAGCGTACAAATCCAAAAACGGATGTAAGTGTTCATAATAAATTGTTCTATTATCAATGTCTTCTTGAGTGAAGTTGGATACAACACTATTGTATTCCCTCTTCTTAGATTTCATCATCAGTCTCCCCAAAGTAGGAGATTTAGTTACCTCGTACCAAATTCTCCTACCATCAGATGTTTTTGTAAGCAAATTATCATTAGTTATTACTTTCTTTTGCAAAGGAAATATATGTAAAGGTTTATTAGTGAAAAGTTTCATTTGTACTTTTTTGGTTTTGATTTCGAACAGGTAGTCTTTTGTTGTATGCAATCCATCGCTAACATTGAAAATAAATCTTGCCTTGGAACCATCTGAAATAGTTAAGAGGAATTAATTATTGTTAAAATATTGAAATGTATGCTTAGCCATTACTATGATGCTTGAAAATTACAAGTCCATTATCCACAAATTCTTGGGTGAAATAGGTTAATGGTGTTTTATTATCTGTTATCAATGATACGTTCCCCCACCAACAACTTTGAACGTGGTACTTTAAAGCTTCTTTAGGCCTATCCTCGTCAATGGTAGCTACAACAGTTTAATGTATTAAAACTTTGTGCGAATACAAAATATGATGGTTTACCTAACAGATTATTAGTGATAATAGCAGTACCACCTTCCCACATTTCTAGGCCAGTATTATTAACTAATTTAGGAACATGATCGTTAACGGGTAATACTAAAACTGATACTTCAATCGGTTCACTTCTTTTATCGCCTATTTGAGCTATAAACAAAGCAGAATCCTTCGAAGTTTCTGTTCCGTCATGAAGGTATTCGACAGTACCACTTGTTAAATTGTCGGACGTGAAAGATTTTGACTTAGTGCATTGTCTATAAATCTGAACGCATCCATGAACAAAATTTTCAATTATTTTGAAAGTAACTGGATTCAAGCGATAATATTCGGTTTCTACATAAAGATGTACTGGAGATAATTGTATGGAACCACCTTCGTTAACAACAATTTCATTACTTCCCAAGAACCAATGTTCAGGAATAATAATTAAATCCAAGCGAACATTGCTCAACCAAACCAGGCCGTTGGTAATATTGAAAGTTATGGTATCACGTGATTGGTTTACTCCAGCTTGGATATACAAGACTCTATTTTCATTTATCAAATCCTGGGAAAAAGAGGCGACATTTAATATTTCGCTTCCATTTTTTGACTCCGATAAAATAGTCAGGTAACCATGTTGAGGCCTCTCGTTAATGTGGAATGTTATTATAGATGCAGGAACATTTGTTTGGATAATCTAAAAATAAATTCATTATTTTGTATTAAGACTTGTCACATGTATGTGGAAGATAATTTCTATTTTACATAAAGTGTACTTTCAAAAAATTATGGAAGGGAAAACCACCTAGATAGTAGCAGACATTTCTCATTTCTAGCCAAAGCCAAAGAGAAGTTTCGAGGAAGATTGTGGAAGTCTGGGAGGGCAGAAAGATACGTTTTTCAAATTTTCAAATTTCAAGTTAAGCAATTACCATACTTAAGATTTTTCTTATGATGAGTTTGATTAACCGATTGTGATATCCAAAAGGAAGTCGAGTAAAGTTTGGGGAAATCCGAGGAAGTATTCGAAATTATAAAGGAATTCCAAGGAAATAATGGTTTTCCCCTCGAACAATTCTTACCTCTAAATTATCCTTAGTTATAAGTGCACTTGTAGATTCTTCTACGGTAAGTTTCTTCAGTCTTTTCAACTGTAAAGGTTCCCAATAGGAAGACGGAAGGATTAGAACTCCAATTTGGGCGACGTTGACTGCGTCCTTGCAACGAATCTTCAAACTTATTTCGTCGGCATTTCCAGACGTAACATCATTCTGATAATACACAAATCCTAAATTGACATCTTCTTGTGTAAAATGCTTCAAGATTTTGTTTCTCGAATCTACGAGTTTTCCGAATGTCATTCCACCAGTGACTTCGTAAAATACTTTCGAGTCAGTGGTTCGCAAATTTGTGGAATAATGTATATGTTCTGTAGTCAGAAAGGTCGATTTTCCAGATTCTACGATGACTTTTTTGTCCATTTCGACGTGGATGAATGGGCCTGAAGCTTGAATTTCCAAATTTCCATTAACGTGAAACTGTCCATCTGTTACCCAAAGTCTTATTTTAGCATATTCAGGACCTTTATGCTTGAATAAAATTAATTTGTTATCTAAATCATCTTGAGAAAATTCTGTAATGTTTCTGGATAAATCTTTTATATTGAAAAATTGTCCATTTTGAATTTCTCGACAGGTATAAATAATTCCAGATGTAGGAGTGCCAATATCCAAATCAATATATTTTAAGTCTTTATTTGTTAAAAGTTTTTCCCCTCCTACAACTACTTGGAATATTTTATCTACAACTCTTATAGGGCTATGGTCATTCTTTAGATGAACATTGATAAAAAGTTGACCAACATATTGGAATGTTTCATCAGTTCTGGACAATGCCATAAATTTAAAACTATCTTGTTCTGTCTCTGATCCATCGTGTGAATAATACAGATAATTGTCATTTAACTGTTGAACTGTAAAAGATCTGGTTCTATTCCGTACTTTCTCACCATCAACAATTTGTAAAATGCCATTTTCAGGTGGGCTAGTAACATTAAACACTAAATCTGATACAAAATTTGCATGAATGTAAAGATGAGCTCTATCTATAACTGCAGACGTGCCTTCTTCCACATCTAATTGCTTTATGTTAACTTGGACTTTAAATTTATCTTCGTTCGAGGGATAATATTTTATTGTAACATTAGTAGTCACGTTTCCACACCCTGGAGACTTTACTGATAAAATTATTGAATCAGTTACATCTGAAAATGCTTTTTGGTGAAGCCTGTAACGTATATTTTCTGAAAATACGTCTTCTTGCGTGAAATTGTCAAAACATTTTATTCGGTATTTTGAAACTGCCAAAAACAAATACCCGTATTGTGGATATTTGATTACTTGGAAAATAATGGAAGCAGATGATTTTGTAGGCCTTGTTTCAAATAATAAGGATTTTGTTGTTACCGAAGCTTCCCAAGCACTATTTAACTCGAGAACTTTCGATGAAACTTGATATAATCTACATTCAACGAAAGTAAGTCGAAACGTATATAACTGAGTCTTATTTAACGCCGTTCTAAATTGAAATTCATCAAACTGAGGTTCTCCTATAGAATGTCTATATCTTACTTTATGCTGCTTCAAATCAATGGTCGCAAATACATCAGTGGGTTCCCACATGCTCATACTTTTTGTGGGTTCCCAAATATTTGGACTTCTATCTACTTCGACTTCACCAAACGATGGTTTTTTAATTATTTTAAAAAGTACATTGTATTCTGAATTAGGCACATTAGAGGTATAACTTAAATTCGATGGAGTTATAAGTTGATGGGTTTGATGCAACAATTGTAATCCAGTGTTTTTATCCAACCTCCACACTTGTGGCGAAACAGATATTCGCACTTTATATACAGGACTTACTTCTACACCATCGGATACTTCAAGTGACACATACGAATCTGAAGAGTCAGAACTAGTATGTACAAAAATAATTTTCTTCTTATTGACATCTTCTTGGGTGAAAGAGTTAACTTTTGCTCCAAGTTTACGTAGGTGCTCGAAATATCCCACATCAGAATTTATAATGCGGTATACGAGTTCCGAAGGAGTGTTGTCAGGGTCATCTGCTTTGAAGAGGTCTGGTGTTATGGCTTTTTTTGCTCCCTGAAATTGCCAGAAGGTTTTTTTTTATTTATGCATAAAATCAATAGCGAGGCTTTTATAAATTAAATATATAAAAAAGGTTGATCTCTGTCAGTCTGTGCAAAGATGAATAATGGTAGGATAATTTGTGCTTATTTCACAGTAAATGGTGTTATGGATTTCTTAGATATATACAGGGTGGGGCACGAAAAACTTCCCACACAAGTTTTCTCAGGTGTTAATGTGATAATCAATAATCTCTCGGAGACGTCAATTTTTGTTTTTTGAGACTAAATTTATTAGTATTTGCACATCATACTCACCTAGCTAACCCCTAAGCGGGAGTGACATGTAGGTACCCCCAAAATTTTAAATGGAAAGGGGGGTCCAGTGATACGTCATTTGATAGCTAGGCGGCTTGTTTCTAAGTGGATTGGAAATTGACTTTTTCCGAATTTCAGAAAAACAAAACATCCTATCTGGTATAAAAGGCGAAAAGAAATCGAAAAGGTTCGCAATTTTAGGTCCAACGCCTCCTAAAGCTAGAAAAAATTCCAGAAGGATATTTTTACTGGAGATTCTCCAAAATTGGAAACTGACTTTTTTCGAAACAAAATATCCTATTCGGTAGAGAGGGGGAAGCTAAACCGAAAAGGTCTCCTAGCAATTTTACGTCAAACGCCTCCTAAAGCTAGAAAAAAATCCAGAAGAAAATTTTCACCAGGGTTTTCCCAAAATTGTAAATTTGCTTTTTTCAAATTTTAAAAAAATAAAATATCTTATCGGGTAGAGAAAGCAAGAAGAAACCGAAAAGGTCTCTTGGCAATTTTACATCCCACGCCTCCTAAAGCTAGAAAAAAATCTAGAAGCAAATTTTTACCGGGGATTTCCCAAAATTGTAAATTTATTTTTTTCGAATTTTGGAAAAATAAAGTATCCAATCCGGTAGAGAAAGCGAAAAGGAACCGAAAAAGTCTCTTGGCAATTTTACGTCCGACGCCTCCTTTAAGGTCTGGGCACACATGACCGCACCGAGTCCGCACCGAGCCCGCACCGAGACACGGCCGTGTCTCGGTGAATAGTTGTACCGTGTTTTCTTATGTCGTAGTCTTCACATCTACGCACCGTGCCCGCGCCGAGCCCGAGTGACACCACCGCACCGCGTCCGTACCGTGCGAGATTAGTTTTGTTTAATTTTTGACGGGCACGGTGCGTTGCAGAAATGGAGAAACTGATAGAAGAAGTCAAAAAGTATCCTGTATTGTACGACCAAAGAAATGAAAAATATAGGAATGCTGAATATAAGGAAAGGGTATGGACTTTAATTGCTACGCATTTAGAAATAAAGGGTAAGTCAAAATACATATGTTTTATTTTCAATTAAGAATCCTGTTAAAATAGGTTGAAATTGATTATACCTACTATACAGGGTGAATCTGAAAGTGAGGTTTTATTTTCAAAAGGATATATATCTCCACCAAAATAAGACTCCATATAAAATATTTTGTTTACATTTCCTCACAAATAAAAACCGGGTACAATTTTTATCGTATTTTATCTGATAAATATTATGTAATACTAATTTTTCAAACTGCCAAGGCCATTTCCTCTTGCCAGTCTACACTGCCTTCTGGAGAATTTAAAAAAGTTGTCAGCTGTTCTCGGACAGTAAATGCGGCATTTGCTGCTCTTCCACGAAGGCGAGGAAGATCCCTTAGAATTGACGATCTGTCGGATGTTTCATTTTGTTCATTTTGACGGATTCCCTGTTCGGGTAGCTCGTAGCTTTCATTTTTTCGAATAAAATTGTACAAAACACAGGTGCACAGAATATACATTGTTAGGTTTTCAGGTTTTCCTTGAAGCCTTCTACTGTATATTCGAAATTTTTGCTCTAAAATGCCAAATGAATTTTCGGATATTCTTCTTGCTCGACTTAAACGATAATTGTATATCCTCTTCTCATCTGTCAAGTTCCTTCCAGGATAAGGTCTCATCATATATGTTTTTAAAGGAAAGGCTTCATCAGCTACAATGACCATTGGTAGTTGAGTATTAGTTCCAGGTAAACTTCTGATCTCTGGAATCTTGAGTGTACGGTTTTCCAATGACTTTCCTAAATTTGAGTGCATCAGAATACCGCCATCAGAATTTTTTCCATATGCTCCTACGTCCACGGCAATGAAGTTATAGAATGGATCAACCAAAGCCAACAAGACAATCGAATATGTTTTTTTATAGTTCCAGTAGAGACTCCCCGAGTTTTTTGGTGCCTCTATTGTAACGTGTTTTCCATCCAAGGCCCCGATACAATTTGGAAACTGCCATCTTTTCCAAAATTCATCAGCAATAATGTTCCATTCCTCTTCTGTCGGCATTGACATACATTCATTTAAAAGGACATCCACTATTGTTCTACAGGTGTCATGGATTATTGCTGCCACAGTCGATCTTCCTAATCTGTAGCTAAAGGAAATTGTTTTGAAAGAGTCCCCAGTGCAAAGAAACCTGAAACAAAAAATAGTCTCAAATATTTAGTATTATGAATATACGAAAATGATTCATTTTACTCATAATTAATCTACTTATAATGTTTGTTACAGGCGGTGGCGAAGAATGTAAGAAAAAGTGGGCCTCCGTTCGAGATCAGTTTCGAAGGACCCTTCAAAGAAGAAGGACTGTCTCTGGACAAGCTGCTGTAACTCTCCGAAAATATAAATATGAAGACGTCTTGCAGTTTTTGTTACCGCATGTCGCAGAGCGAGAGACAATTTCTAACGTTACTGATAGTGAGGAGGTAGCTAATAATGAAGTTTCTGCTGATGATACCTTGGAGGAGGAAGAAGTTATAGATGGTGACGAACCTGAATCTGTGCAAGAATATATACAAGAGGAACCTGAAATACTTGGTCAGAAAACCCAGGAAGAGGTGCTCTCTGTAAACTCGTCAGCCAAGAATCCAAAATTTATCAAACCTGTATTAAAACGAAAACTGCAGCAGCGTCAATCGAAACCTCCAGAAACAGCTTCCTCTCAACTAATGACGTACATTTTATCTGAGAAGAAAACTCAAAAACAATCAGAAGTAGCAAGTGTCGAAGCAGAAAAACATCCTGTTGATGCTTTTCTGGCTGGTATAGTAGCTCCCCTGAAGTTCCTTAGTCCCATTCTTCTAAACGAAGCTAAAGGCCGCATTTTTTCCATAGTACAGGAATGTGAAATGAAACAGCTGCTGGCCTCTCAAGAAACAATTCGTTCATTTCCTTGCAACCAATTTGCACCCTTACCAGCATCATCACCAGCATTTGCACCCTCACCAGCATCATCAGGGTCTGTGCACTCTGTTCCAACACCATATGCATCTCCGGTATACTGGAATTTAGATAATGCATCACAACTTTCTGGACACCATACAGATCAGACCCAGAATCTAGAATGATGATATTGTGTGAAAGGCATTTTGCATTTTGTATGTTCGGGGTTGCCTATATGTTTAGAGTTCACATTTTAATTTCTATTTGTTTCATGAAAATGAAATGTATGTTGTAATGTTTCAGTTTACCTACATAATATTTTTTTTTGTTTTATCAAAATGCAAAATAAATACATGTTCATTATTTATCACGCTGCTAATATCCGTGCTTAACCTAATCCTATATAAATAAATAACTTACCTTAAACATACCATCAACCTTTCTTTCGGTGTTATTGCCACTCTCCAAAATGTATCTTTTTTCTTTAATCTCTCCTCCAGCTTACTCAGTAGCTGATGGAAGGTAAATTGTGTCATTCTAAAATATTCGTAAAATTTGGTATCATCGTCCATTAAGTGGGGAAGCAACGTGCGGAATTCGCCTTCAACGTGTCTTGCTTTCCAAGCGTTGTGTACCCAAATTTTCCGTCGTTTTGCCCTATTTTCTTCATTTTCCTCCTCATCGTCCAAAGCAATAGCTATTGCTGCCAATTCTCTGTTACTGAAGCTGGCGAACATTTTACTTTCTCTCACGCACACGTACAGGCAGGAAGCCAACTGACGAAGTGACAAACTACCGACCGCACTCGTAGTACGACCGTCATGCGGCCGTGTGTTGGAAATGTGTGGCTTTTACCTTATTGAGCGACACACTGCCGTGTTACTGCACGGACTCGGTGCGGGCTCGGTGCGGATACGGTGCGGTCATGTGTGTCCAGACCTTAAAGCTACAAAAAATTCCAGAAGGAAATTTTTAACGGGGATTCCCCGAAATTGTAAATTAACTTTTTTCGAATTTTGAAAAAATGAAATATCCTATCTGGTAGAGAAAGCGAAAAGAAACCGAAAAAGTCTCTTGGCAATTTTACGTCCAACTCTTCCTAAAGCTACAAAAAATTCCAGAAGAAAATTTTTACCGGGGATTCCCCAAAATAATTGTAAATTTACTTTTTTCGAATTTTGAAAAAATAAAATATCCTATCCGATAAAAAAAAGTGGAAAGTAACCGAAAAGGTTTCTTGGCAACTTTATGTCCAACGACTCCTAAGGCTAGAAAAAATTCCAGAAGAAAATTTTTTCCGGGGATTCCCCAAAATTGTAAATTTACTTTTTTCGAATTTTGAAAAAATTAAATATCCTTTTCGGTAGAGAAAGCGAAAAGAAACCGAAAAGGTTTCTTGGCAGCTTAACGTCCATTAGTCTCCTAAAGCTAGAAAAAAATTCAGAAGAAAAGTTTTACTGGATTCCCCAAACTTGGAAATTGACTTTTTTCATTTGAACTTTTGGGGGTACATGTCACCTAGCAATAACATTTTTTTCCCAAAAAACTAAAATTCACGTGTCTGTGCGATTTTTGATTAATTACTTAATTGGGTATCTTGTAAAATAAAAAACATCTGTAACTGAGCCATCCATCCAGAAGCACGAAGCACTTTTCCGCTGGATAATTTTGTAAATTTTTTTTTTGTAAAAATTTGACAAAGCATGCAACATTTTACTGTATTATGAATTTATTGTAACCAGTCAAAAGGCACTGTCTGTAGATAAGGTGAAAAACAGATTTTAACTTACCTCTTCAACTAATCATGCTGAGCAAAAAAATAAAAATTCATCAATTGGCAAGCACTAGAACTATAGAAAAGGAAAACAATCATTTTTCATTAAATAATAAATTATGGAAGCAATCAAGAATTGCGAATAATTAATAATGCAAAATGCTTAATAATTCTCAATTTCATTCCAAAATAATCATGCTGCATTGTTAATGATTGTATATTACCTGGACTACTCTTAATACTCTTGTTTCGGATGTATCGAAAATTGGAGCGTCGTTTTTCGGAACTACATTTATGTTCATTGAAAACCTAAAATTTCCTTGAAGATATACAGGCAACGTAAAAGTGTCAGCCGCAGAAAAAGCGACAGACAAAGCAACTGTATCTCTTCTATCTTCAGATCCATCATGTACATAATGAACTTTATCTCTGGCTACTTCCAAAAGTGAAAACGTTTGTGCTTGAGGCAATCCATCCACTGAAACAACTCCATGCTCCGGACCATGTTGCACGGTAAAAGTCACCCCTGCGTCTCTTATACCATACTTTTTATAGTCTAACACCATGTGGAGATTTGTGGTGGTAATTATTTCACTGCTTCCTTCCACAATCTAAAAAGGTGTCTCAATTTAGAAAGATTTTTTTCAAAAAGCTAACTCACCTCTAAAGGTTCAACGCTCAGTAATTCCAATTCCGTAGCCAGTGTAGCCGCTCTAGAAAATACGGAGTAACCTTCAGTGTAGTTTCTCTGAACGCACGCTGTATCCAGATTATTTTGACATTTGCATTGAAATGAATCGAGTCCTCGTTGTAAACAAGTAGCACCTGGTTGACAGGGATGTTTTAGGCAAGGGTAATTCCAGACGCATCCAGGAAGTAAGCCATCAGAAGACTAAAAAACAATATTGTAAGCCAGAACAATTATTATTATATTCAGGACTATTATCGGAAAACAGTAGGTGGTAGAAGCGGATTTAGGTATTAAATTACTTACTAGTACATCCGGAAGCCCACGTGTTATTTCTACAATATAAGCATTGCGCATGCAACCTTTAAACCCAAGATCGCATGATACTCCACAACCTTTTTGGGTGGCTCTGAATTTCCGGTTTGCTTCCAAGCCTCCAATGTAAGAAATTTCAGCGAGCTGGATCAAGGAAGCGTGAAGATTCCTACCAAATTCTACATGCTCGTTCACTGTAAGTTCTATAGTGGTTGATGAAAGACGAAAGCTTATCTAAAATATTATTAGTTGTTATACAAAATTATCTTATCATAGAAGTTTCACTTACTTGGTTCCATTTTCCGTCAGCAACAGGTTTCTGAGGTACCTGCACATTTACAGTTCTTTCATTTAATTTAACTGTCACAGAAAGACTATAGTTTGAAACTTCAAGGAGGAGAAAATCATGTCTAGCGGTTCCAGGATTGTAGAATATTAAGCCATCTTTTACCTACAAAAATTGTTCCAATGTAAAACAAATTTTGATAGTTTCAAGACACTTGCCATTGTTTTAATGTCCAATTTCATACTAAAGTCCTTAAATTTCGTTTTTTGAGGAATAACCAAAAAAGCGTCATCTTCAACAAAGCTGATTGGTTGATCTACTGAAGCTTCAAATTCCGCTGCGCAATTCCATGTGATAGCTTCCACTATAGCACGCGATTGACGCTGCTTTGCTATTTCAAGTACAGCTATGTCATTATATTTCAACTAAAATATATATTTAATTTATTGCCAATTTCCAAGTTTGCGTTTTTATTACCCCTGACAGACATCCTCTAAAAGTTTTGATATGGCCGAAAAATAAATCGGAATTATTTTTATTCCTATGATCGCCAACGAACAATCCATAGTGTATGTCCAGTTCATAATGCTTTCCAGGTATTTTTGTGCTGCAAAAAGTCAAAATTTATTGTATTACTTTCCAGAAAGAAGTAAATCAACTAGGCCACCCATCCAACTTATGCCTTCTACAAAAAAGCGTATAACCCTAGTTATTTAAAGTAAGTATCAATTTAGAGTGAAATTTATTATCCCTTAGATCCAGAATTATTCCTCTTGTGCCCCAAATAAACCAGAATATATATAAACCTGTCACCAAAAAAACACAATATAAATCTGGATTTGGTGTTAAAATACTTAACTTTATTGAGTGTTTATCTACAGATTTAGTAAATTGGCTTTTTTACGCAGCAGCTTTCAAATATAATTTATTCATTTTTGCTTTGCCAAAAATAGATAGACTTTTACTAAAACAAAAATTTTCATTTGCACCAGTCAACATTGCTTTTTAATATTCTCTGTGCCTGTTTTTCCAATTTCGAGAAAGCAATCTTTGTCCTAATTTACTTTTTCTTGCAAGGGGTGGATTGAATCATTCAGGTCACTCCCTGGATGAGTTATAGTTATGCTAAAGGTTGAAATTTGAAGGGAAAGCATTCTAGAACAAATGCTAAAAATATTTGCTGATAGCTTAACACTAGGGCATACACCAGCAAGATGCCCAAGATGGAGGAAAGTGAAGGTCGTCTTTATACTCAAAGCGGGTAAATCAAGCATCTCAACCCCAAAAGATGATAGAACACTTAGTTTATCATCGTCATCATCATCAGTAAACACGCAATGCCCAGACCAACATGCATACTTTAAAAGAAGGTCACTTGAAAGTGCATGCATGAAGTACCTAGTTGGAACAATTGAAAGATCGCTTGAAAATAAAAAATACAAACATAGAGGGTACATTCAATAATGTAATGACTGAATCCATTGAATCTATGGAGCACCAGTTATCCCATAATGGATAATAAAAATGCTAAAAGGCAGAATCATTAATTCAGAAATTGGTGACTATACCATAAGGAAAAGAACAACCAGAGGGACTCCACAAGGAGTGATATCTCCACTCTTGTTGCTGCTGGTAATCAGTATGATTCTAAAAACCTCTAGACAAAGGAGTAAAAAATTGATGGCGTATGCTGACGATGTAGTAGCACTGGTGAAAGAAAATAGAAAATCCCTAATTTTACAATGCCGACGATTGGGGGGACAAACCTTCGAACTATCAAAAGAAGCGAAGTATCTGTCATGTATTGGGTCAACCTCTTCTCAATATATCATCCATCCTTGCTAGTGGCAAACGCCACCGTGTTGCTTTTCGTTGTATAAGGCTACAATTTGGGGTATGGGGTATCTGTTGCGCCCCTGATTTTTCAACGTTTTTTGACTTAAGACTTACTGGAATACCAGGAGTTTTACCCTACTACGATGACATTTTAATTTTTGGTGATTCAGACAGCAAAAAATGTGTTTTTAGGCCAAAAAAATTACATTTTTGGGCTTGGTGACACTGGGATAAGACCTACCAAAGATAAAGTTGACGCAATTACTAAGGCTCCCGCTCCACCGAAAAAAACTGAACTACAAGCATTTCTGGGTTTAATAAATGTTTACCACTTTTTTCAGACAAAGGTACGATTGTAGAGCTCTTACACAAGTTGTTCCAGAAGGATAAACTATTCCAGTGGCGGACAGTTCTAGTAAGCGAACCTTTATGAAGTCACTATAATGAGAAGAAACTTTTAATATTGACTTGTGTCGCTAGCCCTTACGGCGTGGGATATATTCTGAGCCAGCCAAATGACCAGGGTGTAGAATTACCAGTGGCGTATCATAGTAGGACATCATCAATTTTGCCCGAATTAACCGTGAGGCTCTCTCAGTGGTGAGATGCGTTAAAAAAATTCCACAGTTATATCTCTGTCATGTGATTATTAGAACCGACCATAAGCCTTTGTTAGGAATTTTTGGAAAAGACAAACAAATTCCAGAAGTTTTATACCCTACAATGTTGCGCTGGACAATTTTTTCAAATGCTTACTGCTATAATATACCAACTCCAGGTAAGAGTAGGTATTGGAAATGCTGCAGGCTACCTGTGAAAGTCAGGTTTTCAGAACCCCCTCCATCTGACGATGTGTTGATGTTGGAAAATATACCAGAGAAAATTTATAATGCTAAATAAATAGCTGTTGAAATAAAAAAGGACCCAGTTTTGTCTAAAGCTCTTCAATGAACATGGAAGGATTGGAAGGGCTGGCCCCACGATAAAAATCACACACAATTAAGGTCTGAGTTTTAGCCCTATTTACAAAGAAAAAACGAGATTACATGTTATCAAGACTGCCTACTACTAGGGTAATCATCCCACCAGGATAGAGGAAAAGGATATTAGAAATCCTACATTCAGCGCAACCGGGCATAGTAAAGATGAAGGGTTTAGTCGTACATGTGGTGACCTAAGCTGGATACAAATCGAAACCCTAGTAAATGAATGTCACCAATGCCAAGAGGTAAGAAATATGCCTAACAGCTAACAGGGCACCGACCCACCTTTGAGAGTGGTCTCGCTATCCTTGGCAAAGAATTCACATCGATCATGATTTGGATTGAAATTACTTTCTAATAGTTGTTGATTCTTTTTCCAAATAGCTTAAAATGAGAAATGTTCCAAGCACATCCACCGCAAGCCATAATCAAAGTGCTCAGACAATTGTTTACCACACATGGAATTCCAGAGGTTTGTCTGTCCGACAATGAGTCTGGGATTTCCAAGAATTACTGCAGAACAATGGAATAAGGCAAGCTTTGGTCGCGCCGTATCACCCAAGTAGCATCAACGGGCAAGCTGAGAGAATATTTCAAAATGTGAAAAATGCATTAGGAAAGATGTTGGGAAATTGTGTGGGAAAATACTTTACGATTCCACTTAGTAGATACCTATTACCAACAACACATTATACCTCATGCTATGACAGAAAAATCTCCAGCCGAAATTCTCATGGGTCGAAGATTAATTACTAAGCTTGACAAAGTTTTTCTCGATTTTTCTAGTGATATGAAATCAAAACAAGAAACAGCATATCATCCGAAACCTGTGAGAATATTTCATCAAAATTAAAGTTTACTCCAGATCTTACACCTCTTGATCAAAATGGGTGGCTGCATCAATAGAAGAAGCAGTAGGACGACTAAGCTACAAAGTGGCTACCCCAGGCGCCCAGGCGGTAAAACAGTTAAACCTTACACAGACCAGCTACGTGCCAGAGATGTTTCAGAAGAATATACGGATGTACAGTCAGATACAACAGCGTTGAGGTTTTCACCCCAACAGAGAAGGATAGGCATATATCAGTCAAGATATCAGAGCAAGTGCCATCCAGGAAGGAGGAGTGTCATGTATTTGGTTAACCTCTACCCAATATATCATTCCTGCTTGCTAGTGACAAACGCCATTGTAAATGGCGTTAAAGAAGAAGACCAGTCAGTCAACGACCGACGCGGATCGTTTCAGTACGTACCAGTATCTAGGGATTGTTCTTGACTCCAAACTCTCGTGGAGGAGAAACATGGAAAAAAGAATGAAAACAGGTCTGAATGCAATATACACCTGCAGAAAACTATTCGGCAAAAAATGGGGACTGCAACCGCACATCATCCATTGAATGTACAGGGTGGGCATTTTATTAGGGGCCTATGTCTTTTCTCAGAAACTACAGGGTGTACAAAAAAAATATAAATACAAAAGTTTCTTGGTTTTGAGCAATGTTGTCAATTATTTGAGTTTTATTTATACAGGGTGTCCCAAAAGTGCTGCACCGACTCCAAAACCAGAATTTCAAATGGGACACCTTGTATCTTTTTACATTTTTTGATTTCTGGAGAAAAATAAAGGTAACTTTCATAAGGACTCGCTGGTAGTTGAGATTATTTAATAAAATTTCACCCACACCTTGAGAAGACTACCTCCCAACGATCTACGATGTCTAGGTGCTTTAAATTTATACAGGGTGTCTCAAATCATAGGAATTTTTTTTTAATTTTCGATTTTCAATATCGAAGTTTTTTTCAATGGAACAACCTATATTTGATATTTTTTTGTTAAAAAGGCTAAAAATACCTATCCATTCGTATATATGTATATGTCCTATACCTAAATCTAATAATTCACGAAATATTTAGACCACTTACTTCATCGATATATTTTAATATATAATTTCAAAGAAAAATACATCAACACCTAAATTAAAGCTAAGTAACAGATTAAAGTAAGTTTTCAATATGTCCTCCATTTTGAGCTATGCATGGAGGTCATGAAGGACATATTGAAAACTTACTTTAATCTGTTACTTAGCTTTAATTTGGGTGTTGATGTATTTTTTTCACGATTATTCTTTGAAATTATGTATTAAAATATATCGGTCTAAATATTTCGTGAACTATTTGATTTAAGTATAGGACATATGTATATGAATGGATAGGTATTTTTAGCCTTTTTAACAAAAAAATATCAAATATAGGGTGTTCCATTAAAAAAAACTTGGATAATGCAAATTGAAAATTTTAAAAAATGTCCTATGATCTGAGACACCCTGTATAAATTTAAAGCGGATAGCTATCGTAGATCGTTGGGAGGTAGTCTTCTTGAGGTATGGTAAAAATTTTATTTGATACTCTCAACTACCAGTCCCACAAGACACTATTTGCTGAGGGCATAAATTTGCAAAAAAAATACATAACCTCAAATTCTGTCTAAATTACACAAAATTCGAATAGGGAGTCCTTATGAAAGTTACCTTTATTTTTCTTCGGGAATCCAAAAATGTAAAAATATACAAGGTGTCCCATTTAAAATTCTGGTTTTGAAGTCGGTGCAGCACTTTTGGGACACCCTGTATAAATAAAACTCAAATAATTGACAACATTATTTAAAACCAAGAAACTTTTTGTATTTATATATTTTTTTTACACCCTGTAGTTTCTGAGAAAAGACATAGGCCCCTAATAAAATGCCCACCCTGTACACTGCGATAGTGAGACCCATTATAAGCTACGGAGCGGTAGTAAGGTGTAGGGCTAGTGACAGGAAGGCAACTTGAAAATGCTCAGTACAGAGAAAGGCAGCACTCGGTACAACAGGAGCAAGAAGAAGCCCATCGCAGGCGGCCTTAGAGGTTATGCTGAATCTGTTGCCAATAGATTTGTTCATAAGAAGGACAGCCGCAAAGGGAGCTCTTAGACTAAGAGAATCCAAACTTATGAACACTCGACAATGCTTAAGGATGCAGCTAAACTGATGAACCACCAAGAGGCCGAAGCATTCCTTAAGGCAATAGACTACATACATAGTAACCAAGTATTCTTTCGAGGACAGGATAAAGGTCACTAAGCCATCCAGAGAAGATTGTGAACAAACCCCCTTTAATAGGATAAGGGAGACAACAATCTTCACAGATGCCGCAAAAACAAAAACCGGCACAGGAGCCGGAATATACTCAGAAGCACTAAACATTCAAGAGTCATACGAACTCAGGGATGATTGCAGCCTGTATGCCGAAATAATTACTATTGAAATAGCAGCAAGGGAGGACAATGCGATGGGCAATGTCACCATATATGTGGATAGCAAAGCAGCGCTGAGACTACTAGAATCACATAAAGTGAAGTCAAAAATAGTGATGAGCTGCCGGGAAGTGCTGTCCCGGATCAGGAACAGTAATGTCGGACTAAGCTGGGTTCCTGGACATAGTGATATCGAAGGGAACGAAATGGCAGATAGACTGGCAAAACTGGGAATTGAAAAGGACCAAGCTGAAACAGACGACTCATCGCAACCAACGATCAGACTGTTGTAGGATTTAGTAGGTAGACAAAAGTATGACTATACAATGGTATGACGCAGATGTACAGCAGAAGATGAAGCAATCGCAATGACTGCGTAACACCATGAGCTCTGTAGCCGTACGTAGATATAGAGAAAACCAGGAAATTTTGAAAACTGGATAAAAGATTGATAAGCACCTTAGTAGGGACAATCACAGGATGCTGTGAAGTCGTGCCTCGGGACGGGAGGATGAAAGAATAGAGCACCTACTATGTTACTGCCGAGCCCTGCAGAAGAAACGCCTACACTCCGTAAAAACCTTGCACTGGAACAAAACAAAGAAAGGAGGAACAGGTTAGAGATTTGGGAGGGAACCACCCTAAAGAGAGGATCACAATAGGCCAATGGGCCTCCGAGTGCAAGCTCTACAGTTGTAGGGCAAACCGAACCTTCGGGCAAACCATTTAAATTCTAACCTAACCTAACCTGAAGAGAGATATTTGTTGGATATCGCGGGCAAGTTTTGATTTGAACAATAATCAAAGTAATCCAAACTAATCTTTTTTTTTTTAAATTTTTATTGGACTTTCAATGCTTGATATGAAATCCGATATTTGAAAATTAGAGTACCTAGTAAACAAACCACTTCAGATTTTTCCACAAATATTTCCATGTTCGAAAATATACCTTTTGATGCCTACACGTTTAATTAAATTTTGATACGAGTAGGTAGGTACGGGTACTGCAAAAAAATGCAATTTAAAAATCCCATGTGGGAATGAAACAGGAACGTTATTGGCGTAATGTGAAATTGCAATTTATATTTCAATCATGGAAATCGATTTTGGATACCTTATATATAGAAAAATATAGACAGACTCTTGGAAGTAGGTTTCGAAATCAATAACTGTTATTTGGGACATACCTTCAGGGTTTAATTAAATTTTAACTAAACATTTCAGTCAGTTCACTGTTCCAATTAATGAGCACCGGAATGTCGGAAACCACGAGAGATTAAAAAAGAAGTCGATTAAGCTTCAAAAAAATTGCTTAATATATTGAGCACATATTTATCCCTGTCAAGACATTTTAAGAAGCCTTACTTAAAAAAAAAATATATATATATAAAACATTGTGTTCTAATGCATTTTAAATTTGGGTTTTGCCCTTTTTTTTCTTTACATTTTGAACCAAATATTTACATTGGCTTAAATTTCACTTTCCTGAAAAAAAAAATCCCAGTTTAGATTCGACAGTGACAGTATACCCCCTATTCAAACGGATGTTAGATGTGCTAGAGGGGAGTGGGGAGTGTCACCTGAGCATGTTATAAATTTAAAAGAAGGTACATAAACCGGTCGTGAAATGAAGTGCAGGCTTTAAAAAAGGTTCAAAATCGATAGTTTCTGTGTGGCAATGTTGCTTTTAATGGATAGATATACGGATGTTTTATTGAAGCTTTTTTCCAGCTACAAGACTATGTAAAAGAACTCATTTATAATTCTCTATTTTAGGAGAAAAACCAGAATCTTCTGGTGGCGTGAATATTTTATGTATATACCTAGTAGGAAGTTTTACATGTGCTTTGTTCTCTTCTCTGTTACAATTTTAAATGTTTATTTGTGTGTAAGAGAATTTTCAATAAATGTGATGTAAAATTCATTATTTGTTAGATTTCAGAATTTTTTTTTTAGTTGGAACATAAATAGAAGCTAATTTTATAGTTATTTTCATCATTGTCTGTAGTCATGTTAATGTTCAAAAATATAGATGCATGAAAATTGAACAAAAATCTGTCAAACTTACTGAATTTTTCTAGCCTTATCAACTATCATCGACAAATTTCCATCTTTCCTGGAAATAATAACATCGTGCCATTTGAAATCGTTGAGCTTTGTAGGATTTTGAGAAATCAATTCGGCTTCGCCCGAACCCAAATTGACAACCACCCGAATTCTCCCATTCTCCAAATCGATTTTGCAATAGTCCGATTCTCCGGCGACTAATAGAATCAAGGTGTCGGACAAACGGGTTCTAAACTTGAAGTATATTTCAGAAGTGGTTTTCGTTTCTTCCAACGGAATCGAGATGTAACTATTTCCATAGAATGATGCTAGAAAAAAAAACATTAAGAGCCTTTTGAAATTATCCAAAAAAAGATTAGTGCTTCAAGGAAATTCTCGAATGAAAAGATTTCATGTCTATCTCATTTTTTCCTTGTGAGCCTTTGATTTGGCATTTGGCACTACAAAAAATAATCAATTTCTTTTAGTTTTTCGCAAATTACTTAAAAACAATAATTTTTTGTACAGAAAAAATTATGTTTTGATGACACAAATTCCGCGTCAGTTTGAGTACCAGTTATTGAATATTCCTCTAAGAATAGGAAAGATAGATGATAAATTGAGTAAATATAGGTGCTTATTTCCAACTTCTTCTAAAAACTCATATGTCCTTTGATTTTGATGCCATAAATCATATACCTGCTTCAAACATTTGTCCAAAATCCCCAAAAAAAAAAAAACACCAAATGGTCCCAGGGACGGACTCCACTTATCGCCTTATTTATTTAGGCTAGATTTTTATTTACTGGCAAAAATAAAAATATTTTTATTAAATTACTAGTTTTAAGGTGATTTTAACCATTTTCCCTCAATAGCAATTGTTGGAATACAGGGTGTCCCTAGATAAACTGTCACATTTTGCAGGTAAATATCTCGAAACCGAAATGCGGTTTGTTCTGGGAAAATAAGAATTCTTAAAAAAAAAATGTCACAATATTGCGGATTCCCAAAAGTTGCTGTAATTTGGTTTAACATACATACGATTTTTTCAAAATTACTGCCTTATTTTCAATGAAACACCCTGTATATTTTGTCATCGTCAGAAAGCTTGATTTTTCTGTATTGTAGAATTAGCCAAATATTCATACAAAATTCTGTGTATAAAAAAAACCAGGTCCGATATTATAGTTTGTTATTTATCTATACCGATGAGTTAACAACTCGAATTTTGAGAGTTAGTTTTTAAAAAAATTTATTTTCAATGGTGGTTACAATACAACTGACTTAAACCTAAGTAAAATTAATATTTATAATTATTAGCTTTGCTGACAAAGCTGTTCCCAAGAAATGCAACGGTCGGACTTGTTCTGAAAACAAAGTAACAAACTGCTGAACTCTTAAGTTTATGAGAATGTAACTCCTCCCGTGTAAGTTGAAAGCACGTACTGAAAAATAAAAAACGTGATTTCACAAAAATACAAAAATAATTAAAAAATGCCTTCAACTTCATCACTTTCACTTTTTGGGAACTTTCGAATTTTCTTAATGCACAATAAGCTGAAAAAGTAAATTAAAATTAATATAATGATTAAGTATAATAATATTGTCCAGAGACTGAGGCGATTTGAATAAATCGTCGTGGTTGACATTTCTTCAAGTTTCTTCTTTTGTTCATGAAGTTTTTCTTTTATGTCTTTGGATGTCTTGACGTTAATGATGTTCAAATCCAATGAAGGTAGGTCGTAGGGCATTGATTGGTTATGGTTAATCAATGATAGGTCCAATATCGGTAAATTGACTTCTTTAAAAGAGAGTCGACTTGGCTTGAAGCTCTCGAGGGTGGTTGATTGTATTTTGGCTTTACAATCAACGGGCACTTCTAGTAGGTAGGATCCGAAGATGGGTACAGTTTCCTTTAGGTTTTGACAGTTCGTTGAACTTTTAAGTGGAATAGGAACTGTAACGAGCCATTTTCCATCAATAATTTTGGTTATTTGCGGTGCGTGCAATTGAACTTCGAAAGGATGACAAGATGTGATGTTTGTACTGTATTTAATCAGCTGTACTTCGCATGGAAGGTAGTTTTCGATAAAGGTAGTACGGGCTTCTTGACATAGGTATTCATCAGGCGAGATTTCTTCACAACGTTGGTCCATATAGGAGTATTTGACGTCACTTAGTGCTAGGTATGGTTTATGTGGGATGTTGACGAAAAAGGTTTGATTATGGTTTGTTGGGATAGGTAATGGATGTAGATTGAAGTATTGATACACATCCGCTTCTACAAGTGGGAGTTCCAATATAAATATGACATTAAAATCTTTTAAGAAACATTTAATTTGTAGAAATTTCTCGAAAATCAGTATGTTTTCAGGTACTGGAGAAATTGGTAACCTATCCGGGTTCAAATGTGATTCGACATTTTTAATTTCAGATAAGAGTTCGTTTGGGTTCACTATCGAGTTATGTAAGGTGTTAAGTTTGGAAAAACTTATAGCTACTTCCAATTTATCAAGAATACTATAAATTGATTGATACATTAAAGTAATTTGATTAATTACTGTGAACGTTATAAAATAACCTCGAATGTTTTGGGTTAGATTAGCGTCTTTAATTACTTGTTCAATTTGTAAGATTCGGGATCGAAGGACCAATTCGTTATGTGTTATATTAGAAATCATTTTATCGAATTTATCAATCGTAGAGTCCATTAAGGTGATTTGATTGATTGCGTCCGATTTAAGCTTATTCTGATTTTCTTGTAATAGTTTAATTTTCTCGTCGATTTTCTCGGCGTCATTTTGATCTAGATTTCCAGTAATGACTTTTATAAATGAGCCCAAAGGATTAAATAATCCTCTCTTAATTCTATTCGAATTTCCTACTGTTGGAACAATTTGTTCGATTAGATTTTCTATGCGTTTTTCTAGAGTATGTAGGGATACGAGCGAATTCGTATATTCAATATAGAAATTGTCTTTAGAGCTTATATTGGAAGATAAGCGTCTTGCTTGTATTTTAAGAGAGTCAAATTGGTTTATTATGGGAGTCAAGTTAAAGGTTTGTGCAAAGGACCATGAATTGGATATCATTTTGGCGGTTCCCAACTTGAAAGGAAGGATTCCTGGATTTTTATTCAAGTTATGGTATTTTACGTGGTTTCCAAGGGTCCATGTCCATCTAAAACTAGGGGTTTAATTTTGGTTTCATTTATATGAATTACTTCTTTATATTTTGTTTTCGGATTTTCTATCTCAATTTTATTATTAGGTAGAATTTGAGTGAGAGTGAAAGGACCTAAAAATTTCTTTTTAGATTTTCCCGCTCGATTGTCGGATTTTTTATAAACTTGACAACCTACTTTTAAGTTTTGTGAGATTTTGTCTTCGTTTATTTTGTTAATTAGTTTTTCTTTTGATTGTTGGGTTTTGTTAGTAATTTCATCATAAAGTACTTGAGTTTTACTTTTGTGGGTATTAAGATATTCAGTAAATACGTGGGATGATACTAAGTTCATAGGGTCTCTAGAATCTGTGTGTCCTAATACGAGTTCGTAGGGACTAAAATTAGTACTTGAATGAATAGTGCTGTTGTAAGCAATAATAGCGTATGGCATAAGTTTGGTGACATCGGAATCTGGGTCTGATTCTCGCAATATTCGAATATGTTCGATTAGAGTAGAATGTAGCCTTTCGACTGGCGAATTAGATTCGTGATGATAGGGGGTGGTAAAATGTATTTTTATATTGTGGGCTTTAAGAAGTCCATTGACTACTTCGTTTTTAAATTCCGATCCATTATCAGAAATAATTTGTCTTGGTACACCGAAAAATTGGAAAAAGTGAATTAATTGATCTGCGCACGAAACTGCGTTTCCTGAATAGGGGAGTGCTTGAGCAATTTTGGAAAATTTATCTAATAACGTGAGGAATTTTTGTTTGCCTATTATGAAAGTGTCAATATGAATGATTTCAAAAGGTTTACTTGGTGTTTCGGTAAGCACGAGGGGTTGGTCAGGAGGCTTACGATTGTATTTAGTTCTTTGACAAATTTCACAGTTATTGATGTATTTGATAACATCTTGTTTTAAAGATTTCCAATAATAATTGGCTTTTATAAATTTGTGTGTTTCGTCAATACCACGGTGGTTTGTTTTACCTTCGTGTCTGTACTTAATTGTGAGTTCTCGGTCTTCTGGTTGTACGTTATTAATTAACTTCGTACATTCAATTAGTTTTAGGTTTTTAAAGTGATTTTTCATGCATTGTTGGAAATAGATTCTAAGGTCTTTCGAAAAGAAATAAATGTATGTTGACTTTGTCTGCAGATATTCTCTTAGAAATTTCAAAATGGCTGGAATTTGGGTAGGTAAAGTTGCATGAATGATTTTATTACCATCAAAATTTTCAGGTTCTATTTTAATGTAGGCGTCGTAAGGAGATTTTTTAATAATAAATTGCATTGATTTATTATTGATTATTTCATCTAGCATAGTCATATTTGAGTAATTGTCTACAGCGTCTGTGCTATGTGCTGTTTGAGTTGGAAGGGATTCAATTTCATTTTGGTTTCTCTTTGGATCAATTATGATAGGGGCTTGATAGTTGGCTTTACTTGTGGAAGGACGACTTTCGAAATTTACTGGTGTTCGAATTTGAACGTTCGATACGATATTCACTTTAGGAACTTCAGGAGTTTTTAGAAGATCTTCGATTTCTCGTAAGGTTTCTATCACTGCTTCATCTGTGACGCTATTGGGATCGAAACGTGGATCGAGATTTTCGTTTAGAAATTGATTGATATCTTCATCAATGTTTCCGGGAAGATTAATGAGAGATTCAGATTCAATAGCATGTAAGGATATACGAGAAAGTGCATCAGCGTTTGCATTTTGATTGCCTTTTTTATAAATGATCTCATAGTCATATTCTTCAAGCTTGAGGCGCCATCTTATTAGTTTGGATCCTGGCTCTTTCACGTTAAAAAGCCAGACTAAAGGTCTGTGGTCAGTATATATTTTAAATTTTTGACCGTATAGGTAGGGTCGGAAATATTTACAGGCCCAAACAATAGCCAAAAGTTCTTTTTCTATTGTGGAATACCTTTGTTCGGTTTCATTGAGTGTTCTAGACGCAAAAGCAATTGGTTGATCGTGAGGTGGATTTCCTTGTGACAAGACGGCTCCAAGGGCGAAATTTGAGGCGTCTGTGGAAAGTACAAAGGGTTTTTCGAAATCAGGGTATTTCAGGATGGGTGCATTTATAAGAAGTTCTTTCAAATGATTGAATGATTTTATGAAAGGTTCATTATGGATGACTTTTGCACCTTT